CTGCCAATGGCAACAAGTTTTTCAGGTTTTTACACGCTTATAATTATACCAACATTCTCTGTTCATCCTTAATTACGAGATTGGATCATTCAAGGTAAGCACTGAGGTATGGCTGATAAAACAATTGGTGATTATTGATTTTTATAGATTAAATTAACTAATCAATCAACAAAAAAATATCGAGTAGTATCGAATATCTATTAATCAATCAGCTTCCCAATGATCAATTTCTATTCAGATTTGTTAAGCTTACGTCCAGCTCACTACAACCAGTAATCATATTATTTCCTCATCAAATAATTTGCAGTAGAAAAAAAACATCCTCCTGATGGGGCCAGTGTTTTAAATGACAATAAATACACTCTTTCAGCCATTTAGATCATTCAAACAAACCAAGTGTGTAAGTAAACATGCCTGATGAAAGTTTCCAGCTCTAAAAATACTGAAAATTGAGCCCCTGATCAAATAAAATATCAGTGGAAAACTTAAAACAAATGTGTGATCAACCTTGCAATTGATAGATAAGCCCACAATACAGTCAGGCGATGATGGTCAGCGGATGTTCTAATTTGACAGCTGTCAATTGACCTTCATAACAATGGCGAATATTCAAATAAACGGACCACGAATATGACAGCTTAGTGTGAGTATAAAGATGACTGACGGAACAGAAAAACCCAAAATTCCTTTGAAGTTTGCAAAACATGCAGCTTAAAACAATGAATTTACCTATAATACATTCCAACACTTACAGCAATGGTAACCAAATCGTACTACACACATTCCTGTATTGTTTCTGGAAAGTGTGAGAAAAATTGTTAATCGCTATCAAGTTCATGAAAGATCCGAAAATTATGGCGGTATAGGCTTTGAAACCTCGTTATTGCTCGCAAAGCCTAAAAAAAGACCCCACTTTTCAAGGGTGATATCATTATCAATGGGAGCTTTTCTGTAATGGTATACAGCTGTATCATGAAATGCACAGATCCATTCTGGATTCATCCATTTTTTTGGCCCTGATTTTTTGGGCTTCGTACCTGTATCAAATTTTTTTTTGCCCTGATTTCAGATTCAAAGCCAAATTTTAATGGTGGATTTGGTTAATAATCAAAATGGATCGGTGTATTTGCATATACCCCTATTTACCTATTTTAGTGAACATCAGTGATCAACATGCACCACCAAGCATCAGCCAAAAGTGTCTTGTTAAACTCTACTATACTGCAATGGTTCTAATTGCTTATTAAGTATGTCAAATTGAAATTATAACCCTTGGTGTTGTTCTAAGCTATTCTTTTACTATGTTTCTCCATTTTGAAATCTAGTGCCGCTGCAACAAATAACTCTGATAAAAAAGCATAAAGGTAATTTACCCCTGTTGCTGGTTTGCACGTGATGTCAGAGACTTCTCTTCTCTGGCTATTTTCAAGTGAATTCTTTGAGAAAAAAAGTAGAATTATTCTACTCTATTGACCCCCCCCCCTCCCCCACAAAATGGCCTCCTTGTCCCGTGGTTGCAACAAGTCAATTAATCGATTGCTATTGAATGTTATCGATTATGGCACTCGGTCATTTTTGGGCTATTTTGATAAAATTGCTCATATGTCAGTGGTATAAGCGTATGTATCTTTGGGCTAAGGCTCCTGAGATCGTAAAAATGGGAAGCTACAATGCAGAACTAGCTAATCAAGACTCTGATGTTACGTACTGCAAACGTCGCAGTTACAGTAGTGGGGGAGAAACAATGGATGAAATCATATGCAAGGAACAGTGATTCCTTAACAAAGGAACTAATTAAATGCACTGCGGACGTCGAAAGGAGGAAACCTAAAAGAATTAATCTGCAATCAGGGATACCAACGCTAAAAAGCAATGTAAACAGCTGATCTAAAGCATGTCCTCTAATCAAGCGCCAAACAAACAAATAATATCAAAAAGAGCTTAAGTTGTTATATGAACTTACCTTCTTGGCCAGATGTCACTTATGCGAGAGAAACAGAAGAGAAAAGGAGAGGAAATCGAAAGACCACACTCGGCTGTTGACGCCTAGAACACGAAAAAAACCAACTGCGTAGCATTCTGGGATAGGGAAATCCCCGAAATGAACACTTCGGTGTAGGTCCAAAGATCAGAAGCTATCAGTGGATCTTAAGGCCATCCCAATAAAATGTTTCGTTTCCCATCGCCCCGTCTCTTATGATGGTGGGTCGGTCGGTCGGCAAAAAGAAAAAAGAATGAACACTTTTACTTTTGTATATTAAATCTCACGTTTAATCTGTAAGACATATAATCAGATGGTAAAAGATGTATATTAACACGACTATCAAATGTCTGTAGTGAACAGCCTTTAAAAACGTAGTACAAAAAATTACTCATCGATGTTAATTAAAGACGAGGACATCACATCATACCAATTGTTGTTAAAACAAGATCGTGTGCTTGTAAAGCAAAGTAGTTGCTTCTTTGACCAGTGAATCGGGATTTTTTTTTTTTTTTTTTTTTTTTTTTTTTTACTTTTCGAAAAAAATGGGTCGGTCGGGCGATGGGAAACGAAACATTTTATTGGGATGGCCTAAGTGGAATCAGTACTTTCTGTGGCCAGCCAAATTATTCTCCTGAAAAAGCTAGAAGTGGAACTCAGTAAAACCTCTATCCTCAGGATCTCGTCTAAGGCTTAACAATGAAATTAAAAACAAACTTATCGGTAGAATGCTTAGATCTTAGACCAGACTCGGTTATTGCACGGGAAAAATAAAACATTTACTCGATTAAACACCGCCTTCTATTCAAAGCCCAGGGGGGTACTCAATAAAGTTTTATACAGGGAGGCTCCGCCCCGAGGTCCAACCCCTCACTTTTTTATATAACATTTCTGTCAGAAAAGGTACCCCTTTCGTATTCCTTCCGCTGACAAATGGTACCCCTTTTAGTCATACCTAGTTTAGAACTTTGCATCTCTTTTAACTGTTGTAAACGAATAAATCACTGCACAAAACCAGAAAATTTTTGCGAACTTTTCACACTCATAAAACTACCTTCTGTAGCCTTTTTAGGCCATTTTACGGACCAAGTGACAGATTTTCCTAGGGATTTTACCAGTTGAAGTATATGAAATGGTACCCTTTCATATACCTGAAGCCTGGAAAAGGTACCCCTTTCTGGCAGAGCCTCCCCATATAGGCCATTACAAGGAGTATCCCCTCCCCCTGATCCAAAGCGTACAACTGAATGAAGCACTTCAAAGTAAACAGGGTTTTGCTTAATAAATTGAAGATTTGAAGAAGAAATAAAGGACTTTTTGTAAAATGATTAAATTCAAATTTATTCTTCATAATTAAGAGTTCTAAGTTTTTTGCTGAACTAATTTCTTTACAGGCAACATCCTCTTTTGAAAGGAATTCTAGAAATATGAATCCTACTTATACAAAATCCTCATAAAAATACTATTACAAAGTCTCTTCAGTGCTGAAAAATAATCTATAGCTTTTCTTGTATCTAAAAAACTATGGTCCTCTCTTAACACAAAAATTTAAAATTAGGTATTGATGTTATCCGCCTTTTCGGAAATATTACACTGCATGTTTCCTTATCTAAGAAAAACTGTAAAATTTGTAGCTATATTGTAATATCATTAACACACAAAGTTTTATTTATTCTTCGAAACTCATGACCACCATTTTTCTCTGTGATGCGCAAAACGTTGTCTTAAGTTTTTTAAACTGATCATTGGTCTAATGTACTTAAAAAGAAAAACCACATTAGGACCTTACAGAAATTTTATTGTAATCCTGTACAAACGTTTCAACATTGTACCGCCGTCCCTGTTTATGGAGTTATGAGAACATCATTTCAAGCGGCGTCGCCCCCGGCGGTTGGGTTTTTAACAATGAGAACTTCGTGTGGCGAGTATGTAACTTTGAGTGAAATGATCAATTACGAGGTTACATTTCAGCGGAGCTCACGCGCGCGAAGTTATTATGATTGACTTGAGAAGATGTAATATTAGCTAAAATCCCGGGGCTAAAATCTTTACTTTAGAAGATGGGGTAATTTTAACTTTTATGTTATCCTATATTTTGTATAGGATATTTTTCGCCCAAAAAATATTCCACTGCCTTCAGTAGAGAACAAATGAAGCCCAAAAATTACAAAAAGATTCTACGGTGAGTTTGACTCACTTTACTTGATTTCCAAAAAATTATTCAGAAGTAAAGTAGCATTTCAGAGCATCTTGTTTTCAAAACAGCTAAGAACAATGCCACCTAGCCCTCCTAGCCTTAAACTCCGTCTTAGTGTGTATTTTGCAAAAACTTCCCCGCTAGCGATTATCGTCTCCATTGTATCGCTCAGTTTTCGTCGTCATATAAAAGTAGGACGGACTTCACACAGCCGAGGATACTATGACGTCACACATAAGCCTTTGCGTCACAGCAATACACGAATAATACAATCACACCTGACATACTTCTAGTACGTTGTACAGGCAAACGTCGAGAGTAGTTATTATTGCATTGACGGTTCTCGCTGGCGCTTCGTAAATGGTACATGTTACTAAATGCATAGTCTTGCTCTAATAAAATACCTCTTTTTTAGCGTACAGTTAATATCGCGAAAGAAAGCCCGTACAATAATATTTAAAAAACAAAAATAAACAAACTACTAAGAAAAGAATTTCCACCTTTTCTCCAAGAAAAGACTGCATAATAAAGCAAGGAATGTTCATACAATTTTAGTTTTGAAATAATTCCTCCAAGATATAGACCCCGTCACTTTCTTTCATAGATGGACTGCTTTACTGCGTGTGTTGCAAGTTTTTACATAGCAGCTTAAAACATGTTCTCACCATTTCTGTAACTCTTTCCTTCATATATAGCCTCTCATGCAGACATTCTTCGGACTTTGTTCCTTCATCGCGTGTTGCGCGTTTCTTATTCGCGTGGGGCGCGTTCCTTACTCGCGTGTCTACTTCATTTAATATAAACAGAGAGCCCAAACAGACGTCATGTCAACACATTTTACTTTATTTTCATAAGCTCTACCGCAATGATTTTCCTTAAAGCCATAGCCATTGAAGAGAATAAGCATATATGTTTCTAAATACTACGATATACCTGGTAGAGGACATGAAACTGTTAAGTGTCAAGGCAATAAAAATGGCAGAAATCGACAACCAGTGAAAATTTGTTTAAGACAATCACATAACTCACAACAAAATAAGTTTATCACATTTTTCAGGATATTGAAACTACTTTGCGCAACGAGAGTAAAATATTGTTTGTATAATTTTGGTTTCATGATCATTTCAGTAGAGAAGAGCACCTTATAAATAAGACAGTCAAGTTCACTTGGGCATTTGTGACAGATCTCAGTTTTAGTTGAATGTCAAGTGGCTCCCGTATGTTGTTCTTTGAGATGATTTAATCCGCTGATGGAACAGCTACCAGGAAGTAACTCTGTTGTTGCAACAATAATCAAGTATGTTCTGTTTCTTGGAAGGCCATTGTTTCTTAAGGTGGAACCATTTTAAACAATCTTCTTTTCCATGATAGAAATGACATGTCTTGCTGTTTAAAACGAAGGATAGCCGTAGTTTGGCGTTGAGAGAGTGCTTTCAGACTTTTCAGCATCGGGCATTTAACTAGTTATGAAATTTGAAGGTGTTTGTATAATTCAGGAATCTGGCTTTGGTTTTAAATTTCGAATTCCTTACGACAGCCGTACACATGAATGCAACAGTTATCATGCTGGAGTCCCGGCAGTGAATCCATGGTAACATTGTCCACATGTTCATATAAGCTTTTCTTCAAACTCAATGTGGCAAAATTACTGAAACAGCTCTAACAGATCTGCCTTCACTGTGTTGAGTGTTGAATCAGTGATCCTAGAATGCTTTTGATGCATTCTTCCACACTGTCAAAAGGCTGCATACTGAAGATACGTCTTGCCGTTTATTCTTGTCAAGAAGAAAACCTGCTAGGCAAACCAAAGATATAGTGAGAATACAATCTTGACGAATCTGAGCCTTTTCGTAATAACTTGTCAACTTGAACTGTACTGATCTTCCGCTTGCTGATTGTTATTGAATGTACACATGTTTAGGTGCCTCTTGCAGGTTATGTTTATAGCTGGATTCTGTAACTGCATGTGATGTCTCCTCCGCCACGGTCTGGACAACTGAATGGGGCTCATTTATAAGACGCTCTTCGAAGAAAGCCAAACTAAAGCCACACTGAATCTTTTTCTCCCTGATGGTAAGATTGTTTTTTTTTTTTAGGTTTTAAGGGTCTTTTTTTCAAGCATATTCTTACAGTTTTCCTACCTAAGTAGGTCCTAATATTTTCTGCCCAGTCTTTTTGTCACTGTTATTGCCTCAACACTTGTGGCTTACATTTTACCATCCTTTTTGAATCTGAGCTGACAGAGATCAAAACGTTGAACAATTTCCTCTCATCTCTTATTTCTATTACAAAATGTTTGCCTCATCAAATGCGGTGATAGGAAATCTATAATGATAATCATTACTCTTATAATACTGGTCATTTCTAAGATACTTTTACAGTTTTTAAATTTCTAGATCTAAACTGAGCTTCTATAATTTCTCAAAACTAAAGCGCCTGGTGATTGGGCCTAGGTTTTCAATGATCAGCCGAGAAAAAGTGCATGAAAAACTATCCTTTCCATATTTTTCCTTAAAAACTGATATAAATAGTGCGAGAAATGGCTTGAGACAAAATTTTCAGTCTTTCAAAATTATTATGGAACTGGAATCCTTCCTTACTAGGATCTAATATTCTACCTTTATGAAATAATTTTACAAAACTACTCTTCCTTAAAAAATCACACAAGTTGTAAGAATTACCTTATGTTAAACTGAACTACTGAAATTAAACAGTGCTAACGAGAACCATGTTACAAACATTTTAGACTAATTTCGATATCTGAAAATTCAGACTTGACACTGAGGCTTGGGGGAATAAAACAAGACAAATCATCTTGAGACTCAATAATGAATAATCCATTTCTGTTGTTTTACTGATTTCCCCAAGCGTCGGAGCCAAGTATGAATTTCAATATGTAAAAATTGGTCTATTATTAAATTTATACTTGCGCATGTCAGTCAGGGTCAGCTATTTGATAGTAAAATGTGAGATTCATTCTTTCATCTAATGATACATAAACTATGTTAATGTTTCTTAGTACTTTTTGAGTACTGAAGCAACCTTACTATCACATTCTCAAGTTAAATGCCCTGATTGCTTGAAATGCACAGTACAGTGTCCTGGTTTAACCAGACCTAATTTTCGCTAAGAAATCCACTTTGTTATCAGTGTAATTACGTTTTTTTAACAATGCCAAGTTTAACTTGCTCTACTCGATCATTTAAAAAAATCCCTAGAATGACCTAATCTACTTTTCAGTTTCCAAAACTATCGACTGAATTTTTCCTGATCACTTTATAAACCAGGAAACCGCATGTTGCAGCAACATCATCTTGTCGAGGCACTATGATCTACGCTGACGGAATCCTACAACTGTTAATGGTACCTTGTCACCGAGCTAGCTATGATCCTCAGAGGACAATTCTTTTATAAAATGTTAAAAAAATGTCTCCTCAGCTCTAGAGAGAAGAAAAATTTTCTTTTTTGCCGCAATCATAAAATATGGTTGTCGCTAAAGACACGACCATAAAACTGGTTTACAATGTAATCCGCCTGTTTAGATTTATTGATACTACGGGTCTGTTTACATTAAGCTGGGGGACCAAAAGTCACCACCCCACCTATCATTAAAACGTGATCAAACTGAAATGAAAGATTATATGGACATGCAGGTGGGTTACCCCACCTCACTTACCTGGCGCCCACCACCTCCATGTAAACAGGCCCTAAACGTCTCTTTACCTACAAATGCCCGTCATATCATCAGCACAACATCACTGTCAGGCAAAGTTTGATTAAATCTCTGAAATTTATGACCACTCCGTTCCTGGAATGCCAAAGTGATTTTTGTTTCGAAAGTGACCAACAACGGTTTATGGTCTAACATACTGTAAAAACACTATTGTGGACTAACAGAAAATTTCTTCTCAATAGTTTTTTACACGTTTTAAGCTGTTAAAACTTTAAACATAATTAAAAGCCCTCACTACTGACTGAGTAAAATAAATTAAACTTTAAGGTGGAAATTAAAGATAATGTTATAATGCACTTAAAATGTAGGAAATACCAAAAATAATTTCAATGCCTGCATGAGGCAACCAACTAACTATTCAGTAATACTGAATGGAATGATAACATTCTTTTTTTCAATTAAAACTCAACGTCGATAACATCCAGGTGATGTCATCTAGTACTATATATGGATAGATAACCATGGAATAGAACCCAAGGCGAATATTTCTGGAAGTAACTACTTTGCTTTTTTATACTTGTTATACCAAAAATCATTAAACATGTTTTCGTCTCTATTCTTAAAGCAAATCTAAACGAAATACACTTCGAACTATGCACTTCACTCAATATATACTAATGCTATGTATGTAAATGATATAAAATTCCAATACAAAGACCTTATCTTCGACTAGATACAGTTGGCTTTTTTTTGAAAAAAACAATAGTTCCTTTGTTGTCCCTCCAAAATTTTGCATAAGCATTGTTTTCAATTTCTCTTGGGGTGATTGTAAGTCCCAAGAGAAAACAATGCTTACGCTAAATTTTGAAGGTAAACAAATAGTATTATGGTATTTTTGAAAGAAGGCCTAAATCACTAAAAAAAGACTTGATTAAACTACAAAAACCTAACTGGTAGTCATTACTGTTTGAATCTCTTTCCAAAACAACAAAGGTCGTGTCCTGAAGGCACAGAGCGATTGGATTATCTTGTATCTCCCCTTCATAATAGGACACACCTAAAATTGTAGAAAACATAACAGATGGTAAACATTAAATATTGCAACCTTTTACCCCCACCCCACTCCCCCCCCTCAACAAGCCAAAATCCTCGGGGCTAAGTGTAGGGACGGTGTTACACGAGGTCACAAGTTTATATTTTAACCTGTGTCGAAATCTCGATGCGACACTAAAAGAAAAAAAGTCGTCGACAGGATACCGCATCGTCCAGTGTAACACCGCCTTAAGATATGGGCTTTAATATTGCCATTAGCGCAAAGGAGCCGAGTCCCTTTCTTGTACTCAGCTGAATTTCTTACAAATGTAAATGTACCGTAGCTTAAGAGAAACTGTGAAATTTGATTGAGCATTTAGCTTTCAGTGAGTTAATTTTGCCTGTTGCTATTACCGTCAGTTCAAGTCTTTGGTATCGAAAATTTAGTCAAGTCAAATAACACATTAACTAACACTTCGACAACCTGCACGGAAGTCACATTGAGTTAGTGGTGTTCAGTAGACTCACACTATCAGTCTGATTGGTCATTTAGGGCAAGGTGAAAACGTTTGCAGTTATGAAGATTTGTCAGGGAAGAAAGTTAAGCAGAGCCTTCGAAACCCCCCAAGGCTTTGATGGAACCCCTGACATGAAGTTAATCTTTCGTCAACTGATATGAATCTTCCTCTGTTATGACCCTAACCCTCCCCACCGCCCCCACCCCTGTCAAAAAAGTGAGGCCAGTAATAAGTGTCAGCCAAAAAAAAAACCGTTAACAACATTACTGTATGAATTACTTTACCGACCTTAAGATACAAGAAAGGCTTTCAAGTTTGTCCTTCTTTGTCTTTTCTTACATTTTACTAACCTCTGGCTGATCTTCAGTTCTCTTTGTGTCTCTTTCGATCTGCGCTCTGTTTTTCATCCTGAAATGTAACGCCGAGCAGAAAACCATAAACGTGTTTTTTATGATTAGTTATCAACTGTATAATGCAGAAAATCACAGGTGTAATGATGATATATTTTTTGTAGAGTCCATAAATAAACCTTAAATGTTTGAGGGCGTTACATTGCATAACAGAACAGACTGTTTAAACTTCTGCTCATTGACAATACTTTGAAGTGATCTCTAGCCCTTTTAAGCGTAGAGTAAATTTGTGTCATTAGTAAATAAGTTAAAGCTAAATTGTTTTTCCAATTCAGACACAACAGGAACAATTAAATTCCTAAAGCGGGTACAGACATCGCTCTTTCTTAGTAATGTCTGCGCCAACCTGAGTCTCTGAGTTTGATAACGATCATATAAATAGGAGGAAACCCAGTTATTAAGAAACCCTTGAATTCCATAAAAATATGGCCAAGTTTCTGTTATAAAATTCAGCATGAATGATGCTAGTATAAAATGCCTTTTAAAGGGCCTGTTTACATGGAGGTGGGGGACCCCAGGTAGGCGAGGTACCTGCTTAGATGGGGTAACCCGCCTGTCCATATTATCTCTCATTTCAATTTGTTCACGTTTACATGATAAGTGGGGTGACCCGACACATGAGAGATTATATGAACAGGTGGATTATCCACCTAAGCGTGTTACCTCACTTACCTAAGGTCCCCCATCTCCATGTAAACAGGCCGTAAGAGCTATAAATACACTAGAAGGAAAGCTTCTTGTCACCATTGAGTTGAATTCTATTGACAACTTCAATAAGAGAATGATACCCTATCGAAGCAAAATGGCCGTTGAGAATAAGCCAGATTTATGACTGGTTAGAAGCTAGAATATTGTTGTTTTGACGTTTTAATGTAGAAATTACTTTATCGGATGTCTTTTTTTTCCATTTAATCACACATGTTAACTCTCGAACACTATGACCCCGAAACTGTAGAGGTAACCGAAAATTATCTTATTTGTCTAACTCATTGTGCTTAATTCACTTTTGTTAAATGCCGTACATCTGCATGGCAGGTAGTCGCGTGTTAAAAAGATACAAGATTTGTTGAACATCTCCAAGTATGGCATCCTATATTGTGGTATGGTAACATTTAAGAAAGTGCTGACTATGAAAGGACCTGATTATTTAACACATATCTAGATCATTGATATTCTTTTCACAGAATTAGTCTTACGGCGTTCGTGGCTTCGGAAGCAACTACGCGAATGTCTGACAACGTGATTTCAAAGGACTCTAGGAAAAACTTTGCCATTAACAAAAGTTCAAAATTATAACAACATACAAGGCCAAGTACAGTATGTTAAACCTAGGGCTAGAATTATAAGGGATATTAGTAGTTAAGTAAACAGGCATGAATGAATACATGCGACTAAATGCTTAATTGAAACTTGTCAAATAAGAGACGAAGAAGAGAAAATGTGTAAATTGAGCAAAGCGTAACTGGAAAAGCTGAAGCAAGAATAAATGGAGTTAAAACATAATATTAATAAGAATTATGTCTTTAATAGACAAAATCTTACACCAAGCTTCAATTTCTTATATATCTCCCTAATAACTAACCTCTTGCTCATTTTCCTTTCTCTTTTCGCCTCTTCGAACTTCAGAGTGTTGGTCGCCCTGGAAAGAAGTTAAAATTAAATTACATCTACTGTTCTATTTCGCTTGGTCATAAGTCCAGGAATGAACGCACGTTCAAAATGTACAAATTAACTATTTTTCGTGATGGCCTTGCGAAAAATTTGAATCCAGGGGTCATTTCATAAGTAGGTTGAGTTTGATCGTCCGGGTGAACGTAGTCCTGAAATAGGACTGTTGTTGTTGACAGTGACTGGCGTTTCGACAACCTCTGCCATAATACCATCAACTGAAGTGATACAAAACACTTTGACTCGGAAGATGACTACCGCAGGTTCTTAAAACGTCAGTCACTGTCAACAACAAAAGTCCTATTAAGGACTATACGTTCACCCGGACGATCAAACTCAACCTACTTATTTACACAGTTAGCGATCATTCCCAACAACCATTTGCCAAATTTGGAAGATGTTTGCAATTTTTTTATTATTGACGTCAGTGATGGTCAATAAATGTACTATGGAAATTTACCCACGATTGAGGTCACACACGACAGAGGAACGGCAACTTAGCTGTTTTGGTACAGTAAAACTCAAGATATTAAAGGAGGAAAAGATCACAGCTATCAGTATGCAAAGACCAAATAACTGACGTACTAGAAAAAATAATAATACGAATACGCAAAAATATGACTAGATAGGTGTGAACTGCATTTCGAGGAATAGCTGCAAGAAAAAAAAAAGTTCATTTTCTGAAACTGAAAAGAGACACAAACGTAATACTACTTGAAGTTGAGGATGCTATTAGATAGACAATTAATAGTAAGTCGATTATAATAATAACCCGCGATTATCATCATTAGTTACCTCTTGCATGTTTTCTGTTTGTTCCTCTTCACTTCTCCCTTTGGCTTGTCGGTTATTCTAGAAAAAATTCAACCGTGATTATTTCCTGCGTTTTGATTTACTTGGTCCGCGTGCTGCTGATGCTTTCCTAACCTTGCATTCTTTTTCCTTCCCGTTGATCTTCAGAGTCATTAATGTACTATCCAGATTAAGATAACTGAGCAATATTAGTTAACAACACATTGTTTACATGTAAACTCAGTTTTAGAGCGAGCTTTATATCCAACCAAACTTCTTCAAGTTTTTTGGAGAATTACTTGCTCCAACCGCGCTTAGTACCAGTCGAAGCATTCAGTCAATCAATATTAATTGTTTATAGTTTATACCAAAACCAAACAACTTATACATACTTGCTGTGCCGAATATGAACTCTTCTGTCCACCCAATGTTGCTCCGCTGGTACTGCTAAAAAATTATGGAAGATAGTATTGTTAGCACGAGTATGTCGCGAGGTTTCTTGAATACATACAGGGGCACCCAACGGATCTGTTCCTCAAAATATCTGTTCTTCAGGCAAATTTTTGCTGGCTGGGAGATTTAGGAAAAATAATATGTCCTAGGAAGGAAAGTGTTGCTGGGAAATAGACAAGTCATGTCGTCTGAGGGGATTTGATGTCTAGAATACCTGCTACGTGCTATTTGTCAGAAATCTCTTCCCCCTTCACCGCCTTTTCACTTAATGGAAATCCTTGCTGTTAGATTATCAGCTTATAAATAAGTTAAAAAGAACTTGAAAGAGGAAGTTAGGTGATTGGGGTTTCTTAGTTTTTGTACGGACATTTTTAAAAATGGTAAATTCTATATATGCGTCAGACAATCTTTTAGAGGTTGGAATCTTTTGCAGCATGCGTGAAAACCAGTCGCCTGTCGCTCGCTAAGATTGTTGCTCAAAAGAGCAAATGCCCCGGTCATACGAGTTTTCTTCAAATGAATCCATTAAAAAGTGGTGGAGAAATAATGGAGAAAAACTACTGGTGATTTCTAGCAAGTCTTCTAGCAAAAAAGGCTAAATGACAGAAAATAAATTACGATTTACCGACAGCTCACCTTTTGCTGTTTTCACTGTCATCGCCTCGTGGCAAACACGCCATGAAAACTTTAAAATTAGGTGTAACATTCTGGCCCAGGCCGAAGACGACAACACGATTAAAGAGACAGGCTGCTAAGCAGGTCACGAAACTTCCGTGATATATTGCAGTTAAAAGTTCACCAGATTTGACGTTTAACAGCTGATAAGTGTAATTACCACTACAAGCAACACATTCGTCGTCACTGATAAAAGTAAAGAAACTTTCGGCAAAATATTGCCGTGAATTAAGTAAAGTACGGAGTGTGTTTCCTGTTTTAGAATCCAGAACTAACATGCCTCGAGCCGACGCAACAACAAGGAACTGTTCCTTAGGTGAAAATGCCCCTCTCACATAATCACAGATCGTTCCGAAGCCTTCCTTTTGCCAAACAACTGTTGTACCATCTAACAACTGAAGATAGCCAGGACCAGGTCCATCCCTCGTCCTGTCAATTAACAGCTGACATTTACTGTTGCAAGTAAGAACTCTTGAACTTCCTTCTAAAGATGGGATTGTTGACACAACTGTTCCACTGCTTGTATCCAGGACTGCTACATCAACTATTCCTACGACTGCTACTCTTTCTTCTGATATTGGGATCAGTTTTTCAACGTCAAAATTCAGGTTGGTCCATACTTTGACAGTTTTAGAGAGGCTATAATCCCACAACTCTGTTGAGTTAGGGCCTCTTTTCTTTGACATTAGAACACCTCCTTTAACAGAACACAAATATTCGAAAGGTACGGGTTTTATCTCAGCTTTACGATTCCCACTGAACACGTCATAAGCAGTGACTGATGCGCCACTTGCAATAAACACGGTCTGACCATCCAAACTGAGTGCTATCCCACTAGGTCTAGGGGATCTACGTTGATCGATTCTTCTGACGTTATTGATATTCACCATTTCTATTGAGCTACCACTTGATCGTAACAGATGTTGTTTGTTGAGACCAAACACAATATTCCCTGGCACAGAATCGTCTGTGGCAATAAGATCACCAAAAAAAAAACCACAATCACTAAAAAATTCAAAATACTTGGAATCATAAGACACTTCCGTTAAAGAAAATCTGTTTGGGGCATCCTCTACAACCTTGAGACAAAGTAAGACTTGGTCAAGCTGTTCTATAGAACAACAAAGAACAAATCGATGATCAGGTGAAAACTTTACCATGCCAAATACTTCCACGTCTCTTCTGTGAAATAAAGGACGGCTATTACGGACAGATTTATCTACTAGATTAAATCTGAATCCATACAGCACATTAACCAAACTTATTACTCCGGAAGAATGGGAAATTGCAAGAAGCCTTCCATCGCCAGACCATGCAAATGATAAAATGTTTTCATCTTCGTAGATCCGATGGACCTCGCCACCATTTTCCAAACTCCACCAAACAAGGCATTTACGACTTTCCAGACAATTAGTTAGAATCATGGTGTTGTCCCAGGAAATAGAGCAAACCGAGAATCTACAGTTACTTCCGGGAAAGAGCGGTTTCAAGTCTCCTTCCATAGTGTAGACCTGACTTAGACTCCCAGATAAAATACATTTCTTTGTAGGGTGGAAAACGACAGAACGAAAGAATGAATAAACACGATATGAGGGATCTAAACCTAAATTTCTAGTATAGCTAAATGGTGCATACCAACGGAATTCCTTTTTCTCTACTACTGGACGTGTCCACACTAGCTTGCCAGTATGGAGTGACCATAGATGAAGCATTCCGTCCTCACATTCACACACCATATAATCCAACTGTGGAGAGACGTCCAAACAGATCACATGAGATGAACATTCAAATCGGGCTATAACACCTCCCTGCTGAGTCTCTTTGTGAACATCCTCCATATATGGTATTTCAGGATACTTATTTCGCAAAAGATGTGACGCCTCCACCGTCAACACTTTTCCTCCTTGGTTAAGAATGGTTTGAAGAAAAGTATGAGGGGTATCCGTAAGCAAACGGAGGTTTTTTCTTAATAGAAACAACAAGGTGTCCACAATACTTTGGTTATCTTTTGATAACAACGTAAAAGTTCCCTGCTCTTTAAGCCACTCAAGGTCTTCAGTCGCTGTTGTGCTGTTAACGCAGGTCTTGGCATACACAATTTCTAAATCTAAAATGTAGGCCCTCGTCAGTTCGTTCAGCTCATGTGGCTCTCTTTTGATGCTCTTGTGTAGCATGTGATGTGCTCCATGATACAGCGCGTACCTCTCAGTGATGCTAAATTGTACTTTGTTTACACTTTTCCGTTTCAGATTTTTAAGTTCGTCAGTACACAGAGCTTCTTGTATACGGTGTCCCTCGTTTTTACTCGTGCTGAATTCATGCTTACCATAACATGAAATGTCTGTCAACCAATCTTTAACCGACTTGTGAATGACATGAAGACAATCCTCACGAACAGGAAGAAGTGCAGAGACACTGCCCAGGGCTCTCAGCACTTTACGCCTTGCAAGTAGTGAATTTGAGTTCGGTACTAATATTTTAGAAACAAAACCCACTGGCAGGGGCTCCCTTGAAGTGGAAATGGCAGATAACAGATTCAGGAAATTTTCTTCCTTTATGTGGAGTTCCTTCAAGAGCTCACGCTCGAGACGTTCAAAGTAGGAATGATACACTGAAGAAATTCCTAACGGTAAACTGTCAACAACGTCTTCCTCGTGAAGAATTGATGGATTTTCAGTGATCAACAATACAAGGAAATGGGCGTACAGCATCAGACCTTCAGATTTCAAAACTAGTCGCTCTACATACTCGCCTAAATTTCCTAGCTTGACCACGTGTTCCAGGTTTTTTTGAAAAAGAACTCTGACGTCTTCAATATTTTTTTCATCATTATAGTTCAGTTCGAATGGCTTCAAATGTTTCAGTTTTTCTGTGATGTTAATGGCTGGACGCGTTGTGAGAAGAAAACGAATCCAATGAGGAAGCTTGATAAATTGATTTGCAATTACATCAAGAAGCTCATTTCTTCCTTCGTATTCACTTTCATCCAAGCCATCTATCACCATGAGCATGTTTCTTCCTTGATCACCTATCGCACTAAGAGGTTCCTTGAAAAGCAGTGCAAACAACTCCTCCACACCCATGTTGTTGAGATCTGTACCCAGATTTCTTGATAGCTGTTCCACTAGAGCTTGCTTGTACTCTGGCAGGGCACGGGACAAGTGACAGGCAAGCGACTGAATCATCAACTGAGGCTTACAGTAGCGTACATTGTTATACTGACAAAAATGGCTTCCTGACAGCCTGCCAGCGTCTTGCATTCTCCTGCAAATCACAGCTGCGATGACAGATTTTCCCATCCCCGCATTTGCACTGATTACCATCGCACGGTTTTGAGAACTTCTGTCATCCAGCCAGTTCTGAACTCTGTCAAAGACCCACTCACGGGTGCCTTGTTGAAATCGTTTCGCATAATACTCAATGTCACCTCTGAATTCAGACTTGGTAAGATTACTAAGGACCTCGTCTGTCCTGTCGTTTTCTTTTGTGTCGTTTAAGCTATCCACTGTTTCCTTTATTTCCTTGAGACCTGCTGCGACTTCTTCAAAGCTTTGTTGAGTGTTATTCATTGAGTGACGCACGTCTTCCACTGTTTTTTGTGTGTTGGCCTGGGTCTGATGCACGTCTTCAAATGTCTTTTGTGTCTTGGCCAGGGACTGATGTATTGCGTCCACTGTCTTTTGTGTTTTGGAATGGGTCTGGTGTATGTCTTCTACTGTCTTTTGAGTACTGGCCTGGGTCAAATGTATGTCTTCCACTGTCTTTTGAAGCTTCGCTTGAGCGTGTCGTACATCCTCAACTGCTCTATTGGTTAGGCTCTGGGACTGATGTATGTTCTTTAACTGTGACTTGATATCCTCTTCACTGTCAGCCCACTCAATCAACACGTCAATATAATCTTGCTCTCCACCTTTCTCTGCCTTCAACCTATCTACTTCCGCCTGATCGAGACCAAGACTCACAAGAACACCACTAATTTCAGTCCACAGAGCAGAGAAAGTTGGTGTATCAACACTAGTGGTTGTCACATGACCATACAAGACATTGCGATAGAGCTTAACCCGTGCAAGGTTAGCCTCACGAGACGTATCACTTGGGGGTGGCTTTGTGTGCCATCCTGAGGGGGGAGGGGCTAGTCCACAAATGTTGGTCAGAAGGAGAAAAAGAAGAGTGATGTCAAAGGTTTTGGAGTCTGGTGCGACTCCCCTCGGTGGAAACAGTTTGTCCCATTGATGGCCATTTAGAACCCGACGACGTAAGAGATTGTTTAGAATGGAATAATTAGCATTTAAGTCAGTAATCAAGTTCGCAGGAGGATGATAGATATCAAAAATATTTCTAAGAACTGTTGTTCCACCGTCGATGAGAAGCCTGCTGAGCTTGGCTCCATTTGTCTTCTCCACAGAACTGGCCAGCGGTGATGGTGCAACAGAGGCCATAGAAAGGTACACTAAGCCTTCCTACAAGTGAAAGAAAAAATACTACAATATTAGATGTATTTACCCTTTTCTAACCAACATGAGTAGAAACTCACAAATCTATTTTACTTTCAACATGCAATGTTGAAAGTCTTTCAGTGGAGTACAATTTTGCACTTTGCCCTTTTCAATCCTGTTGGACTTCCTTTTTGAGAGCACGAAATCAGTTACAAGATCTATTATTATTTGTTGGGACAATTGTAAAAAGGGAGAAAACAAACAGCGATATCTTTTACTTTTAATTTTGGGTGATACCTTGACTGTGAGTGGTTCCTATTTAGTTAAACTCCTCTGAAACTCAAACACTTTGACAACGTGTCGTTATGCTTCAAGAACAAAATTTAACGGACCTTTTCTTTAAAGCTTGTAAACAAAAAAAGAATTTTTGCAGCTAGGGGTAACGGTTACGTTTTGTATATTACAGCAATGACGTTTCGAGTAGTGTAGCGAGTGTTGCAGTATATGTACGTGTTTGTTAACCCCAGATAACATTTGCTAATATCTGCGTATTGTGTTGGGTAGAATGATGTTTTCAGTAGTGTCAAGGTCGCAGTATGATTGTGTTTGTTATAACTCCAGGTAAAGTTTCCTGAGTGTTAGTATTGTGAAGGTTGGAAGTGACGTTTTCAGAAGTGTATTGAGTGTCGCAGGATAAGTGTATTTGTTCTATCCAGATAAGAAGGTCTCAATGAAAAACGGTAATTTCTTACCGTCTACCGTCACAAAGGAAGATTGATATTAACCGTCAAAAAAGTTCAAGGTATTTCAAATCTCACTATTTCAGTTGGTCTTCATGAACTTCTGGTACCTGAAGAACCACTCAGCTGGAAAAACCGGTTTCCATGTTCTCAAAATACCCTCACTTAGCCTGCGTAGCAAGCGTTTCCGCGCGAGTTCGCCCACGAACGCAGCTTCTGATTGGTGCGGTGCTAGGAGTGTTGATTACTTAGCACTCGAAACTTCAATCAAACCAGGTATGCTCTGTTTACGTGCGTCGCAGATTACAGTTGCCTTGGACTGATTTGAATCGTGTTTGTGTGTTTATGAGATCAGAGTCTTTAAAGTATAATGGGAGATCGAGTAGTGGAGACTAGGGAAGGCCAATTTATTGGGAATGACGGCGCGCGGATCTGACTGGAAAAAATGGACTGTTTGTTTGGAGACAACATCAACATAAATCAGAACATCGGTACTCGACACTAGCTAAAGCCGCCATGGACAAGCGATTTGTCAGTTTTTTGAAATGAAAAGACTCTTTTTGTTCATTGGAAATTTAGCGGCATGTATTGTAGAGAACGTTTCGACACGGGCTGAAGAGCAGCCGCTCTGCAAAACTTAGCCGGCGAAGTGAATTGTTCCGGACAAATCATTTTGACGTTTCGACAAGGTTTCAGACGAGATAAAGCCACACAATAAAAAACAAGACATTCCGCAGCAATCGCTCAGAGTTTTAACCTTCTTTCATCGTAAACCTTATTTATTACAGTTTTTGCAATCGCCTGGAACGTGTTCTATTGGAGAACAAAGTAATTTTACAAATCTGTCAATCCGGGGTAGTAATTTGTTCGTCATACTTCTATTTTGACGAGCTGTCAATTTACAAATGAACCGAACCCTGAAATATCCGAGGGGCGTTTTCCAGAATCGTGGGGTTTGCGGGCAAGCGTTTCATCTTCTTCTTCCTTTCCCCTACCCCCCCTTTTTTTTCTAACTTTCGCGCCATAACTCGATTGGAAACACTTGCTACGCAGGCTACTCTCTTTAGGCATTACAATACAATTACAACTTGCTTATTTCTGAAAATATTTCGAAATGTCAAAAGTGAAAGGCCAAGACAGCCTCCAAAACACAACAGTGGACACTTTGTACTACTAAATCAAAGGACACGAAAAATACGGCGAATTTTCGGGAAATGATAAGTTCTGCGCCAAAAAAACAGAAAGGATCGAAACAAGAATTTTAGTCTCATGTCTTCCAAAAAACGTTAAAAAAAGAAATGTTTCACGATGTAGTCGTGCTACTGCAGCAAGCTTAAAAGAAGCGTGAATCCAGCCTTGGTTTGCAAAACGCATTTTTTATCATTATTTTGCCGTTGTTGTTGCCGTCGTTGTTGCTTAAGCTAGCCACGTACTGTCTAAAACTCTCTCACTTCCACTGTAACTTTCCACAGTTATTGTGCAACTACATGCACGCAGAACGGTCGCTATTTCATGTTAACTTTTTACTCCAACACCTCCTTTCTTAGAGTCTGTTTTTATTTTGTGGATGGTACGACCTAGCGTGTAGCAACACTTTTGTCTTGCTCAATGCTTAGACTGTGGTTCAGTTATCACCATTTACTAGAGTTAGAGTTATGCACCGATAGATAACTTAATGATTTGTGTTCATTGTCTCTGCTGGTTGTTTATGTGTAAGCCTCCATAAAATGATGGAAACAAATGTTTGCTTTCTTATCAGATGCTGAGGGTATGAATCTCTGTGTAGCAGAGATAAGTATGGAACTTAAAATAGTGAATGACTTGACCAAAAACCTCTCTGTAAAAAAAAACAAACAAACAAAATGCTTTAATAGTGTCAATTTCTCAGAAATGCACTTTTACTTGTCCTCAATTTGTTTCAAAAACATATCTTAATGTCATGGCTTGCACATGCACCGAACTGCAAAATCCACCCTTTTAAAACAAAAGGGCCACTGAAGTTAGTGACGGCGTGTAAATTAGACCCGTCATCTACCATGCACCCATCCATGCCAGACTAACCCCGTATAGGCCATTATAAGGAGTACCCTCCCGGGTAATAAATTCTAAAGCGGAAGTTATTTAACACGTATCTCTTATCTCTTTCTTATTAATATCTGCTTGTTTCTGGGAATAAATTAAACTTAAGAACTGTATCCTACACAAAGCAAACTGAACGTTTCGTGAACTAACCTTGTTCTAATGTGTCACTTACACAGATCCGAAGAACAGACTTGTAAAGGAAATGTACAAACCAACCACAAACAACACCTCCCTAATTGGTAGACTGAACCGCGCATAGGACTGGGTTTCACCCAGAATGCTCGAAATAGGAATGTTACTTGCTTTGAACCCCTCTTTTAGTCTGGTTATAAGCTTCCCGAGAGAATTTTAGCTCTTTCAACTTTTCACAGTTCTCGTGGAAATACATAGAATGGCTGCCATTTCATGTGCTTTATACTCCAACATCTCCCTTGCTAGAGTCTGTTCTTTTTTTTGTGATATTACGAATTAGCTTGTAGCAAGTCTTTTGTCTTCTTCAATTCTCAGTCTGGTTTCGGTCATCAGCTACAAGCATAGATATCACGATCATTCAATTGTGGTTATTGTAGCTCGGGGTGTTTATTTGTTACTCGCTCTCAAAATGATGCGAAGAAATGTCTGCTTTCTAAATTATCAGATGCTGAAGGAGCGGCAAAATAGCAGAGATAAGTATGGAACATAACTAGTGAATGACCTAAACAAAAAACTCTCTGAGGAAACCAAAATCCTCAAACTATATATATATATTTCAGAAATGCAATTTAACTTGTCAATTTCTTTTTAAAATATAACCTGATGTCATGGCTTGCACATGCACCGAACCTTAAAATCCCGGCGGGGAAGGGCGGGGGTTACTACCATATATGGGTTATATAGGTACGTGCCGCTGTGAAGGGTATGGTTTTCAAGCAGTTTACTCTAGGATAGGGTATGTAAATCAGAGCGTTTGGGTCTAGAATAGGGTATCATTTTTCAGGAAACTAGGGCTTGTGGCATAAGGTTTTGTTTTGGCTAGACTGTGCTAGTGACCTCAGTACTTTCTCGAAAACAGCTGCTCTAGGATAGGGGGGATTTTGGGAGTTTACACTAGTATAGGGTAGCAAAATTCAAACCGAGCTGAACTAGCTCTGGTATAGGTTAAAGGTTCCAGGGTCCTAGCGAAACATCCCCACCGAGAAATTCCTAAAGTACCCCCCCCCCGGGGGCGTAAAATCCTCTCTTGTAAAACAAAAGGGCCACTGAAGTTAGTGTCGGCATGTAAATTATTAGACCCCGCATCTAATATGCACCCATCTATGCCAGACTAAAGTCCACATGTAAATTTAATCCCTACATCTGTTGTCTATCCGAACCAGAGTAGCTTTTCTGCACTAGCGTTTTAGAAACTGTTTATGATCCCTTGGTCAATCAGTAACTTATTTATTCACTATAAAAATTCCTCCGGGGCAGGAATGTAACATGTTGAAAAGGGTTGATAAACTACGCATACAACAGTCAAGCTAGGTTACTTATAGAGGAATAAATTCGGGTGGGGGAGGAGGGAGTGAGCATCGTTTGAAACACGCACCTTTGTGCAGCACAAAGGATAAAAATTTAAACTATGAGGTGACATGACATCTTTTTGAAACCGAATGAATTGCAATAAAAGCAGTGAATAATCTGATAACGAATTCGAAAGCGGAAGGTATATATCAACTACGTTTTCTGAAACTCTATCATGTCTACTTGTTTCTGGGAATGAACTCAAGGACTGTATCAAACTAAACGTTCGGTAAACTAACCTTTTTATAATGTTTCACTCGTACTGATCAGAAGAACAGACTTGGAAAGGAAATGTACAAACAATCCACAAACAACACGAACAACACCCAACTGACGTTCCACCCCACTGACCTCCCTACTTGGTAGGCTGAACCGAGCATAGGACTGTGTTTCACTCAGAATGCTCGGCAAACGAAATTAGGAATGTTGCTTGCTTAAAACGAATTTTTAGTCTGGTTATAACTGTTATAAGCTCCCCGTTTATAGGCCACTTTACTAAGAGAATTTTAGCTCTTTTCACTTTCCACAGTTCTCGTGGAAATACATAGAATGGCCGTCACTTCATGTGCTTTATACTCCAACATCTCCCTTGCTAGAGTCTGTTTTTATTTTGTGATATTACGAATTAGCTTGTAGCAAGTCTTCTGTCTTCTTTAATTCTCAGTCTGTGTTTCGGTCATCAGATACAAGCATATATATCACGATCATTCAGTTGTGTTTATTGTGGCTCGGGGTGTTTATTTTTTACTCGCTCTTAAAATGATGCGACGAAATGTCTGCTTTCTAAATTATCAGATGCTGGAACATAAGATCTAACTAAAAAACTCTCTGGGGAGAACAAAATCGTCAAACTATGTATATACATTTCAGAAATGCAATTTAACTTGTTAATTTGTTTTTAAAATATAACCTAATGTCATGGCTTGTACACGCGCCGAACCGTAAAATCCTCCCTTGTAAAACAAAAGGGCCACTGAAGCTAGCGTCGGCATGTAAATTAGACCCTGCATCTAACATGCACCCATCCATGCCAGACTAAAGTCCACATGTAAATTTAATCCCTACATCTGTTGTCTATCCGAACCAGAGTAGCTTTTCTGCGCTAATGTTTTAGAAACTGTTTATGATCCCTTGGTCAATGAGTAACTTATTTATTCATTATAAAAATTTCGCCGGGGTAGGAATGTAACATGTTGGAAAGGGTTGATAAACTACGCATACAACAGTCAAGCTAGGTGTACTTATAGAGGAATAAATTCAGGTTGGGGAGGAGTGAGTGAGCATCGTTTGAAAAAACGCCCCTTTATGCAGCACAAAAGTTTAAAGTTTGAAGATGGAGATGACAGGTAAACTATGAGGTGACATGATTTTTTTTTAAATCGAATGAATTGGATAAAAGCAGTGAATAATCTGATAACGAATTCGAAAGCCGAAGGTATTAACCACGTTTTTTGTATCTCTATCATATCTTCTTGTTTCTGGGAATAAACTTAAGGACTGTATCAAACTAAACGTTCGTTTAGTATCTTATTTATTCACTATAAAAATTCTGCCGAAACAGGAATGTAACATGTTGGAAAGGGTTGATAAAGTACGCATACAATCTAGGTGTACTTATGGAGGAATAAATTCGGGTTGGGGGGAGGGAGTGAGCATCGTTTGAAAAACGCGCCTTTATGCAGCACAAAAGTTAAAAATTTGAAGATGGAGATGACAGGTATGAGGTGACATGATTTTTTTTGAAACCGAATGAATTGCAATAAAACCAGTGAATAATCTGATAACGAATTCGAAAGCGGAAGATATATATATCAACTACGTTTTCTGAATCTCTATCATGTCTACTTGTTTCTGGGAATGAACTTAAGGACTGTATCAAACTAAACGTTCGATAAACTAACCTTTTTATGATGTTTCACTCACACAGCTCAGAAGAACAGACTTGTAAAAGAAATGTAAACCAACCACGAACAACACGAACAACACCCGACTGACGTTCCACCCCACTGACCTCCCTACTTGGTAGACTGAGCCGCGCATAGGACTGGGTTTCACTCAGAATGCTTGGCAAACGAAATTAGGAATGTTGCTTGCAGAGTTTTTAGTCTGGTTATAACTGTTATAAGCTCCCCGTTTATAGGCCACTTTACTAAGAGAATTTTAGCTCTTTTCACTTTCCACAGTTCTCGTGGAAATACATAGAATGGCCGTCACTTCATGTGCTTTATACTCCAACATCTCCCTTGCTAGAGTCTGTTTTTATTTTGTGATATTACGAATCAGCTTGTAGCAAGTCTTCTGTCTTCTTTAATTCTCAGTCTGTGTTTCGGTCTTCAGCTACAAGCATAGATATCACGATCATTCAATTGTGTGTATTGTGGCTCGGGGTGTTTTTTTGTTACTCGCTCTTAAAATGATGCGACGAAATGTCTGCTTTCTAAATTATCAGATGCTGGAACATAAGATCTAACCAAAAAACTCTCTGGGGAAAACAAAATCGTCAAACTATGTATATTCATTTCAGAAATGCAATTTAACTTGTTAATTTGTTTTTAAAATATAACCTAATGTCATGGCTTGTACACGCGCCGAACCGTAAAATCCTCCCTTGTAAAACAAAAGGGCCGCTAAAGCTAGTGTCGGCATGTAAATTAGACCCTGCATCTAACATGCACCCATCCATGCCAGACTAAAGTCCACATGTAAATTTAATCCCTACATCTGTTGTCTATCCGAACCAGAGTAGCTTTTCTGCGCTAATGTTTTAGAAACTGTTTATGATCCCTTGGTCAATGAGTAACTTATTTATTCATTATAAAAATTTCGCCGGGGTAGGAATGTAACATGTTGGAAAGGGTTGATAAACTACGCATACAACAGTCAAGCTAGGTGTACTTATAGAGGAATAAATTCAGGTTGGGGAGGAGTGAGTGAGCATCGTTTGAAAAAACGCGCCTTTATGCAGCACAAAAGTTTAAAGTTTGAAGATGGAGATTACAGGTAAACTATGAGGTGACATGACTTTTTTTTAAATCGAATGAATTGGATAAAAGCAGTGAATAATCTGATAACGAATTCGAAAGCCGAAGGTATTAACCACGTTTTTTGTATCTCTATCATGTCTTCTTGTTTCTGGGAATAAACTTAAGGACTGTATCAAACTAAACGTTCGGTAAACTAACCTTTTTATGATGTTTCACTGGCACTGATGAGAAGAACAGACTTGCAAAGGAAATGTACAAACAATCCACAACAACACGAACAACACCCAACTGACGTTCCACCCCACTGACCTCCCTACTTGGTACAGACTGAGCCGAGCATAGGACTAATTTTCACTCAGAATGCTCTGGAAACGAATTAAGAATGGGGTATTATGATGGAATTAAGAATTTGGAGTATTAGCTAAAAAAACCCCGTAATTTAGAAGTGGGAACAATTTTTACTGTTTTGTTACCCTATATTTTGTGTATTATAATTCATAAAATTTAATATTCAACTGCTTTCAGTAGAGCAAAAATGATCAAATCAATCAATCAATAAACTTTATTTACCCTCGAATTTAGAGTGTAGCACTCAAGTGCTAATATCTTCGAGCCAACTACATTAATGATAATGATACCGAAAACAAGTTTGAATCGCTTTATCTGATGGTATTTCATATATTTCTTTTACCAGAAGTAATATTTTCGAGCATCTTGTTTTAAAATGTCGGGGAATAATTCCACGAACCTCTCCCAGCAGGCTTAACCTTTGTCTTGGTGCGTATTTTCTTAAAAAGGCCCTGCTAGGATTATTGTCGCTATTGTATTGTTTACACTGAAAGTAAGCCTATTCCGTGAACAGCCCACTCGTGATGACGTCAAAAAGCTCTTGCATCACATTAGGGGTCTATTTGTCAAACTGTGACCCACGACATATGTTTCGTGCGTCGTATTAAGAGATCCAACGCCGGCAATGCTTATTACTTCATTGTTGGAGCTCGTTAACGCTTTGCAAATGGTGTATGCTATGCCTACTAAATACGTAGTTCTATTCCTAAAATAAAACCTTTCTTTTTAAGTGAGCAGATAACATTGCAAAAATTCAGCAAACGTACTAATAAAAAATACCAAATTACACTGTTTGACTTCCTATCGCTTGATTATAGCTTCATTTTGTGGGCACGACTCAAACTCGGTTTCACCAAAAGAGGTTCCTATTCTTAACCTTCCACGTTGGCTTTTCAAGTGAACACAAACAAGAGTTTCCCCATCAATGTTAAAGTGAGGTCATATGAAATGTCAAGTTTGAATCCGGCCTCATTTCTATCAATACAGGTGTATTGCAGAATAAAACCCAATTTGTCAGCTTTTGCACCTTGCATTGCAATTTCCTTTTTATCTTGTTTTCTTGTGTGCGATAACAAATTCCTGAAAACATTACCAACATCTCACTTTCTTTTAAAAATATTTAAAGTGTATTCGCCTCTTGGCCAATGCACCCCGAATACCGTTTGGAAAATGGGCATGGCACTCTTCAGGCCGATGGCGAACAGACGACGGTTAAGGAAACAGACAGGTCACCTCACTCTCGACATCAATTGCACTTTGCCAGATTTGATGTTAAACAGTTGAATCGGAATGAGAAATAACGCATTCCTTGTCACTGATGAAATTTAATTAAATGATGAAAAAGAGATAATGGCGCAGGAAAGTACGGGGTGCATTTCCTGTTTTGGCGTCCAGGACTAACAGGCCTACTGCCGAAACGACAAGCAGTTGCAGTTCCTTAGGGGAGAACACCGCACGCACAACAATACACACTGCACAACAATAGACTCCATGATTCTGTCATCCTTTTTTTTTTCCAACCAACTGTTGAGCTATCTAGAATTAAAGCCCTGTGAAGGGAGCAAACTGTCCATGTTGTAACTCTTCTCTCTTACGACTGGACGTGTTCACACTAGCCTGCCAGTAAAAAATGACCACAGTTGGAGCATACCTTTTGTACATTCACACACCATATAGTCCGACTGCTGAGAGGCATCCAAACAGACCACATAAAAAAAGCATTTAAATTCGGCTTGAAGACCTCCAGCTGCGTCTTCTTGTGAACAACTTCCATGTATGGTATTTCTGGATATTTGTGCTACAAATGATACGATACCTGGGGAGATCACACTTTTCTTCTTTTGATTAGCATGGTTTGTAAAAATGTTTCAAGGTAGAAACTGAGCTAATGATGGTGCTTTCTTAATAGAAACAACAAGATGTCAAAGTACTCTGGCAATCCAGTGATAATCTAGTGAAGTCACCTGCTTTCGAATCCAAAAACTAAGTCCTCAACCGTCACAGTGCTATTTATACAGTTCTTAGCATACACGATTTCTAAATCTACAATGTGCGACTTCGCCAGTCTTTCCAGCTCAAGAGCCTCTCTCTTGACTCCAATACACTTCATGAAATACGTGAAGGGCACCATGATTTAGCGCGTACATCTTATGTCGTGTTTACATTTGAGCTTTTACCAAGGTAAAAATTTACTAAGGTCAAGTTACTTAACCTTGGTACATTCGTCCAGTGTTTACACTAGCTCAAATAACTCAAGTTGATCTGTCAACCCTCCCGCTGTCTGCATTATCTACGTCATGAAATCGAACTGGCGGGAAATTCTAAAACCATGCTCGCTTCAAGAAGTGAAGTGGTGGCTTTCGTGGCCATTGCTTTTAATTCTTAATTCAAGAGCCGCAAACAGAAACGTCAAGATTTCGTAAGATGTTGATGTTACAACACCTCAAGAGGTCGAGACGAAAACGGATGGTTTTACTCCAAATTGCTTTAAAAAATACCAGACGAGCTAGACGTGTGTGGGCATGGCCGTAAATAATACTGAAAATGAAAAATACAATGCCTTCTTTTACCTGACGGATTGTTCGCCATACGAAGATCGATCCAATCGTTCCCTGACTTCTGTTATCTGCCATGATAGAAACGTGACAATCGCACGATCTGCTCACCGCGGATGTGACATATTACACCGCCGCAAGCGGATATATCTGTCATCTTGACCTTGGTTACCAACTGTAACCATGCCTGATCACAGGGTAATTACAACTTTTACCTTGGTCAAATTTCTTTTGTCTTTTGCGGCATTTACCGAAGTATTAGTTAGCGTTTACACACGGAAAATGTTTACCTGGGTAAGTAAACTCGTACCTCAGTAAACCGTTCAAGTCTAAACGCGGCATTAGCAGGTCTTAACTGTACATTGTTTACACCTTTCCATTTTAGATCGTTTAGTTCCTCAGTACAGAGGTCTGCTAGTATACGCTGTCTTTTCTATTTCATCCATGATGAATTCATACTCTCCATAACATGAGGTTTCAGTCAACCAGTCTTTAAATGACTTGTGAATGGAATGAAGACAATCATCGTGGATGCAAAGAAGTGTGGACACACTGCCTAGGGCTCTTCGTACTTTACGCTTTGCAGTTGACGCGTTAGTACCTGGTACTAATACTTTAGAAACAAAACCAACGGTGTTTTGCATTCCGCCCAAAGCTAAAGCGTTATTGCGTGGACATGTTAAAATAGCGGTTATTACATAGTGTTAATTAACTCCCATAGGGACATTTTTTAGGCTGGTATATAAGCGGCCACGCGGTATTAGACGAGGACACTATCAAGATAGAGCAGAAAATGTAACCAGGTTTTTTGACTTTCTTCCTCGGAGTCTTCAGTGTTTCAAGTGAGTACAGAGAAGATTCCAGTATACCGAATATACCTGTTGAAAGTGCAAAACTGGTTCGTGATACTCTTCTAAGTGGATACGACATATATCCAATTCAAACTGGTAGGGGCTCCCGCGATGCAGTAATGGCAGAGAGAAAATCAAGGAATTAATGTTCTTCCTTTATCTGAAGTTTCTTCTTGAGTTCAGTTTCAAGACATTTGTACTACGGATGATACCCCGAACAAATGTCTGATGGTAAACTGTCCTTCAAGTCTCCTTCGACAAGGTGACACATTCAAGCTAAGAAAGCCATGCCGGAAAGAATCTGCAAGCAGGGTATTCAAACGCGGAAGGTAAAAGTAGAGCAACTAAGACCAACTGAGTGGAGGACCATCCCACCTCAACAAAAAACAACACGTGTCTCCTTTTTATATAATATCTACAAATTGATTTATCGTAACTGTTGTCAGTGATTTAGGAAATACCGTTTTGAAATGAACGCCTCTTTCGAATAAACGCGGCATCACAAAACTCCTATTCAAACATTCAATAAACTCGCATGCGTTTAAGCAAGTTAACACGACTTGCGAAAAATATAAAATGGTTCTTGAAAAACGTTTTTGAAACTGCTGTAAATAACTTTCCTTTCGCAGTACAGTGTGTATAGCAGTCAACCTTTTATATTCACGAATTTTCATTGACTTCGAGCAGGGTAGTTACTGACCTAGCATCAGCTGCGAATATAATTCATCCTGTTCATTTTCTTTGCCTTACTTTGCTTTAACTATTATTTTAAGAAGTCCTTAAACTAACCTGTTTAGAATCCTTCTTGGGTTGAGATTCAAAATATGGCTTTCAGGCGCAATCGAGTCGCGTCACAATTGCGGCAATGTGCGCGTGCATAGAAGAGCGAGGCTTGGAACAACAAATCGCATGTTCAGCGAACAACGTTTGCAAGGACAACTTGGATAAACAGCTGCGTAGAAAAAAGCCGGCTCGTTGTCTAGATCAGGATCAGCAGTATAAAACAAAACTTTAAATCAAAGGCAACATTGAAAGGCTCATCGGACAATATATATGTGAAACAGACCCTCTATCGGGTTTTTTTTTCAATTTTGACATGGACAAGAAGTTAGGGACAATTTGTCAACTCTGTTGAAAAGAGCGCCCCTAAATTAATACGATCTCCAAGTTTCAAAGTGATTTGTTGCCAAAAGTAACGAAGATATGGCTCCTCAAAGCTGTGAAGTTTTACAGACGTTGGTATGGTGGGGTGGGGAGGGAGGCACAAACCGTCCCCGCACCATACAAACGTCTGTAAAATTTCGCAACTTGCAGAGCTATATCTTCACTTGCTGAAAACGTATCACTTTCAAAGTTGGCAATTTTACTAATTTTAAGGCGCTTTTTCAAGTGGTGTCGACGGTGTTTCGCTAACTGGTCCATGTCAAAAGTTAAAAACCGCGGAAGTTCTAAAGCTAAAAATGGCGTTTTGTTTAATTGAAAAGTCATGCACATATATCTTTGAAAGATTTTATTTACATGTGCTATGAGTGCAACTGTATTTTTTTCACATTTAATTGACAATAACAATAGAAACAAGAAAAAAAAAAGTACAAAGAAAAAAAAAACAACAGCAACCCCAGTATTAAAATTTACGAGTTGTTGTTGTCATTTGTTCGATAAGTTACAGACGAGATGAGTGTGAGTTAGGTAGCTGCTGTAAATTGATTCGAAAATTTCCAATTGTGAATTTTGGGTAATTGACCCAAAGGCTAGAGACCAAGGCTAATGTACGTGTACAATTTTAGAGCATTCGTTCCAAATTCTTGTTACTAAAGACTTTTTAGTTGATATTTTGTGCTACCGAAGTCCAGTTGCTTCATCATCAAAGCGCTTTCATGATGTGAAGTGTGTTGTATGGGATTTGTGAGCTTTTGTTCGGCTTCTTAACGTGTTACTTCTTAACAAAGGGTGTCTTGAGAACCAAGGAGATGATCAGCGTCTATTAAGCTCCTTCCCCTGACATCAGCGGCCATAAGCAACAAAGACGGCAACGGCAGCGAAAAACTTCACCCAAAAACAGGATTCGCGCTGTTTCAAATTTCATCGCTCTTATTCCAACTCTTCTTACTAGTTGTCATAGGTTGGCGATTTTTCAGGAGTTAAATTCTAGAGGACTATAAACATAAGAAAATACTATATCACAAAAGAAAAAGAAGAAAATCGTTGTCTTTTGTTCCCGTCATCCATAAAACGTGAAAATAGGAAGCGTGTTGTTTTGTTAATCAAACCCTATTACTTTTTGCCTTCCTCGTTGCTTAAGCTTCCATATAATTATCATAAGGACAATTCTCCTAGTTCAATGCTTCTGAACACGTGATCTGTTATTCTGTGAGCAAAGGCCTTGCGACCCTCATGTTCCCGACCTAGGGGTTGTGATCTGAGGAAACGGGGGGGGGGGGGGGTGGGGAGGGTGAACCTTCGGCTTCTGCTTGCGACTCCGACAACCTAATTTCCACTTGATCGTAAACGACAGAGTCGTAGGCGGAATCAGAACGCTGTTTTCTCTAGATACGCTTCTGATTCCATGTACGATTACTTTGACTCCGACTCCGTCGCTAAGGAGAAAGGAGTTTACAGTAAATTCAGTCATGTACAGTTACTCTGTGATCAGGGAGTCGTTCTTCCCTTTTTTGTTAATTTGTATGTGAGACTAAAAAAAATCCCACCTGATCGCGGGTTATGTACTTTTATACAGGAGACATAACTTTTTACAAACAATAGGATCCTTTGTTTCAAAAAACAAATGGGCTTCTGCAAGTTGACACATTTCAGCAGCAGGAGTTTCGCTATGACTGCAGTTCAGTGGGGTAACATGCAAATCAGCACAAGAACTTGAATTGTAACGCAAAGATATTTGCCCAGCATACCTTAAAAATATATGTGAATTCAAGACATCCGGTTAATATTGCTCTTGCTTGTGTGGTTAATTTGATGGACTTCAAGAATTTCGCCAGGTAGCATCAACAACCTTTCAGGATGTTCCAAATACACCACTAGAGAAGATGATCCTGTTGGGATCAGCTTTTACACTCGACTTGTATATTCCCTGAAAAGTGTTTAAAATCGGTCTAAATAAACGATTAAAAGCAGACCGTCTTAGGATTATTCTACAAACAACTCGCCGGTGTGAGATGGATATAAATCCGTCGTGATGTACCAAAAGCTTTTTACACGTTTTTAGGTGACATTGCCGGTTTCAAATAAACTATATTCGAGGATGATTACATGCAGGAAACTCAAATTCGTAAATATATTTGGATTATTTAAAGGGTGATCAACTACACGAATTGTTGCAATCAAAAGCGGAAGTGAATTTGCTAATTCAAGAGCAAAAAAGCCAATTAGCTTTTGTACACTAACCACTCGTGTGACTAACCTACCTTGGGACTTAGCTCGCCCTCAATAGGAGAGCACACATCACCAACAATAGCAGCACCGACAACAGCAACAATAGACACGGATCCGTAGAAAAATAGCCCAGCCTCAGCCCCAGGCGTTCTCTGCTCGTGAGATGTGACGTCACCGAGAGAGACTCTCTCGCCCGCCTTTTCCCAGACTTCGCGCGGAAAACAGGGCAAGAGAGAACGCCCAGGGACTAGGCTAAAAATAGCCGACGTCTCTCCGCTGACTCTCAGTCCCAGGGTATTTTGCGGGCCGCCGAATGATGGTCAGCGATATATCATATTAAACATTTGTCTCATGTCAGTGAGTGACTGGATGAAAGACAAAAATTCTTTTCTACTGATTTACATATTTTTGCCTTGTGCCAGTGAAGGGTGTGCTTATTTCCAGAAAATCTTTTGCCTGTGTCAGGCTCAGAGATAGTGGGAACGTAGCGAAAACAAGCCAAGCAAAAATATAAAGAGCCCCCACGCGTTTTTCGAAGTCACGATCTGTGCACAGCACTATCTTGGAGCCTGGAATAGGGTAGAAAACCTTCTATCAATAGTTCTTTTAAAGTGATGTATGGAATTTAAAGTTCGTATTTCCACAAGAACAAAGGGCGCTGGTCATCGCCATTGTAGTAACTAAGACTTGTCTTCGCCTCAGGTTGTCGGGTTTTGGTTTCGGAAGTATTTATTTTTCCCTTAGCGTCGCTGCGAAGACGGTAATTCGGGATTCTCGGGGTAAAGAAAATGCAAATAATCGTTGGAAAGTCGTATTATCACGCGAGCCAACTCGGTGGGAGTGATATTCGTCGCGGCGGAAAAGCTAACACCTCAGGTAGAGGAGGCAAGGGGGGATTTGATCAGTAGCCAGCCCCGCAGAAACAATCACATGGTACAGGCGTGCGGCTGAATCAGAAGCTTGAACGTAGACAGCAGTTAGCCTGCACCACAAACGAAACTAAACTTCTAGTTAACTCCGTCTGCGAAACAGCGCTGGAATCCTTATTCTTGGCCCCCACTCGTGCACCAGAATTTGAGTACGCGTCATAATTGGCCTGTTAAAAAGGCCATTGTCGATTTGCCAATCAGGATGAAAAGAAATTCAAAACGCACTTCCGGTAATTCGTTGAGTCCGTTGGGTTCCCAGGACAAGGATATCGCCGCTGCTTCGCAGACGTTACCATGGTTACTAACCGAGGTTAAATTACGTCTGCGATGCAGGCTGACAACAGTTTGCTGAATGCATTGAAGACATTAAAAAGGAAATAAGTCTTTTGCAAAATAAAAAAAAGTCACATTTATTCCTATAATTTACACTCCTATTTTTTTTCTTAACTAATTTACTTACGGGATTATCCTCTTTTGAATGTTATTCTACAAATGTCAGTCCGGGCCATAACCAGGTATTGTAGTTTTTGAAAATATTTTTTGTAGGAACCAAAAAAATGCTACTCAATCAGTACCCTCCCAGAAAGCCCTCTAACGGCCTCTTTCCTCGATTTTTCCACAGAATTTCTGGCCAATCACAACCGAAGCTATCACCTATCGATCGCTTGTTGTATTTCGTCACTCTTCGCCTTTAATTTCGCAAGGTTTCATGGAATATAACTGAGGACTAAATCTGCTACAGCTCAAAGAAGAGTAGTAAACGAGTTTCCTCAATTTCGGCACCAGAAGCCCTTTTTGATGACGTCATAGAGTATCCAGAAATGGCTATGGCCCGGACTGAATGCGAATCCAATTAACTTTTTTTTATTACACACATCTATGTAATCCTCCCGGAAAAATTGTTTGAAATACATTTCTGAAATATCCTTTCAGGAGTCCTTTCATTTTTTTTTTTACATGAAAATATTAATCTTAAAAAAATTGGTTCCCCTTCCTTTAAAACGCAAATTTAAAATTAGTTGATAATATAATCTGTCCATTAAACTTGATGCTTCTTTATCTAAAAAAACTGTTGAAACCTATGTAATTTATGAGCACCTTTGTTCAGTGTGGTGCACAAAGTGTTTTTTTTTTAACCAATCATTGGTCTAAATCACTTTTGACAAAAAAAAATACTGTGACGCAACAGTAATTTCACTGCATCATTATTCCTACGTTTTATCATTGTTCTGTGTGTTCCTGTTTATAAAGGGGTGTGAATATAACGGACACAGTCGAAGACTTTTTTCAGATGATCTTTAAGATTATAATTCAAAACTGTCAGACTAGCAATACATCCGCTTCTCAGAATAACAATCTGAGACCACATCAGAAAACATTCAGAATGTTCGAGCAAGCAAGAAAGTTCTTGGGGGCTGCGAATTTCCCAAAACGAAAACACGTGATACTGAAGTCATACTAAGTCCCAGTTACTCACAGAGTGAGAGCTTCGTTTTATGCGGTCCCAGACTACTACGTGCAAATGACTAACTGCATGATAACTTTCTTATTAAACTTTTAAATTATTTTGGCTAAAAAAACTAAGTGAGTGGCTACTTCAAATTCAAAGACACTCGTTAAAAACAACTTTTTTATATTGGCCTAGCTTCTAGTGTAATAGATGACTTTTTATTTTATTTCAATTAGTATAGTACTATCTAAAATAATTCACCTCTTAACTCTCTAAAGAAGAAATTCATACGTTCACCTCGAGTTAATTGAAAAGTGGGAAACAATGTTTTTTCACCCTACCCCTGTAAAATCTGAGCAAAATGTAATTGGCATAAGACATATTTCAATTTTGATATATATGTCTCATTCTCAGTTACATAGAACGTTATTTAAAAACATTTTGTTAATCTACGAAAACCTAGCTAATAATTTGCACTAATTGATTATAATTTGGAAGCCGCAGAGAAACTGTCGTGCAGGTTCAAACGGACTGAACTATCTTCCTTTGCTGTCATCAAACAAGTACACAGCTGAAAATGAAAGAAGCATAATCGTAGATAATACACATGAACTTTGGAAGAAACTATCGCACCTACATCTGCATCATAACAAAAAGCTGGAACAGTTAAACAATTCAACTGTAGGGATATTAAAGACATAGCCTTGCAATAATGAGAACTAGAAGGTAAAAAGAGCTTGAGGAGCTCAATCGATTTTTCATTAAACATTTTCCAACCCAACGAACACAGCTGAATTCAGGCGAGGGAAACAAAGAAAAAACAACAAAAAACCATTTACTAGAAGACTCACCGGCTTTTTTTCTCAACTTGAGAATTCCTGCTTGCCTAAAAAAAAGTATTCACGCAATCAGTTAGAGCTAACGAATTACTTTTTTCTGCTTTGGACAAGAAATATACCATATAACATGCCGAAATCTGATTACACAACGGGTGTCACAATGCAAGTGCTCTGCTATATTTTAAGGTAACAGGCAAGTCTGATGCAGACCATTTTGGCGATTTTGGACCATTTTTATGGAATACATGGGTTTTCAGCTCCAAGTGCCCTGGACTCCAGAAGGAAATAGCACTAGTTTACGCAACACACAAAGTGTAAGCAACTTTTTTTCGAATCGTTTCACTACAAGTTATGAGATACTTTCTACATCGCCATACATTCTGTTAAAAAATCAAAATTTAAACAGATCACACAGAGACTGTACGAACTGTAATATGGTTAAAGGAATTTCTTTTGTTTCTGCACGCACAAAGTGGCCAATTCTGATTGGATAAGATCTTGCCTGTTTCCCTTTTAACCTTGCTCACTCGTGAGGCTACCCGAGTAAGGATCAGCAGAAGGCGAGGTAGCTAAGCTGTGTTTGTCATAGCTCGGGAAAATAGCGGAAGATTCTCCACGTCAAAACAAGAAAGATGCTAATTAATATTTTAAAATAAATACCCCTTCATATCTTATAACTGCCAAAAAACGGGCAATTGTTATGAAGACGTAAGCTTTACATAGATCGAGGTAAGCATGTTTTCAAGTTTAAAACATACTGAAAGAAAAAAAGGTAACAAAAAACCAATGGCTTCAGCTCGCTTTCATATGAATGTGAACACTAATGCCGATGAGGCGCATAACAAACACTTCGATCTGCAAAATTCTCCATATCATACTTGGCCTCATCCAATAACTGCTAATCATTATTCATTCAAAATATTTTCCCGATTCTGATTGGCTAAAACCACACGTTTAATTCACCATAACCAGTTACTGATTACCAAATTTGGAAGAATTTTGTGTTTAACGAGGAAATGATGTAAAAAATGCAGTGTTTTCGCAGGTTAAGGCACCGTTAACCGAGAAGACCTGGGAACGAGGTTGAGTTATTGTTTTGGTGGTGAACTTGAAAAATGGCGGACATTTCACTTGTTTCAAGAGTAAGAACTAGGCGAAAAAATAGCTAAAAACATGGCAAGAACAGCAAGAAGACAACTCGAAGGGCGGCATCTGCTATTTGGAGAATATTTGCGGAGCTGGACAAACCTAAACGTGCACTATCGAAGATGAAATTAACATCGATGGATCGATGGAGGTAAGCATGTTTCAGCCATGTTTTTAAACTAGGAATTAATTGAATGAATAATAAAACAGTTATTGAATTCGGCTTTCGTATCATATGAAGAATTATGAGGATCTCGGACAGTGTTATCCGCCTCGGCCAACGGCCTCGACGGATAACACGCTCCCCGATCTCCATAATTCTTCATAAGATACTCAGCCTCATTCATTAATTGTTAATTATTCGTTCAAATATTTTTCCGTTTCGCATTGGCCTAAATCCCAGCGCTATTTCCGAAATCGTAAAACATAAGGCACTCTCACGGATAATTGTTCTGAAAAAGGATAACAGAAGGCGTGGTGAAGTTGATTTGTTTTGCAAAAAAAAAGATAGTCACACTATTTCCTAAAACGTAACAAGCACACTAAAAATAGCACTGATGATAACTGTTATTTGAGGCCGAATATGTGCTAGACTATATCTCGCTCTATCGTGCATTTTGGATTCTTCCCTCCTAGTTATGATGACATCGATCGAAGTAAGCATGCTTTTAAGTGTATTATTTTTCGTCTCGTTCTCAGCCATATTCAGTGACTGCTAGTTACTATCCTTAATTACCTCTTGCACATTTTCAGATTGCTGTTGTCCTTCTATTTTATTGGCTTGTTGGTTATTCTGGAATAAATGTAACCCGTATTAGGCTCAAGTACATTAAGCGGACACCCTGTATTAGACCCAAATTTGTTCCCACGTTTTGTGTGAATCTACTCTGTCTGTTATTCACGTTACTAGCTGCTATAAGTTGACAAACTGTCAATTTACAAATGAACCAAACCGTGAAATATCAAGGGGCGTTTTCCAGAATCGCGAGATTTTCGGGCAAGCGTTTCCTCCCCTCCTCCTCGTTCACCCTTCGATCTTGCATTTCTTTTGCTTTCCCTCCAACTCAGTAACTCGCCTGGAAACGCTTTCTGATGAAGGCTAATCGATCTTCCTTGACCATGGTCGTTTTGTCCAATATTATAACTAAAAATTGATTTTAATTTTAGTATTTACCAAATCTGGCTCCCGTAACTCGGAATATCCTTGACTATTGGTTATTCACTGTTTTGTGACCGGAGCCAAGATGGCGTCTCGCTTCGAGACATTTTCGGAGCACGAAATTTGAGCGATAAATGAAGCAGTCGTACAAACAAATAACAAGAAAGCGACTAACTTTGCCTTGTCAGTGTCTACTGGTATAGGTAGAAAATTGTTCTCATGCTGAATTCGCAACAAAATTGTAAAAATGCACTTGAAAAAAATTCCCAGAATGTTTGTAAATTATAAAAGAATTTCCTATTCAGTGACATTTTTAGTTTACAAAAAGGTACTTTTTTCATTTTTTTATCCAACCGATTCCGTAAATACTAAAACAACTGTCCCCCCTCAGGGTCGGTGAGCAGCGCTAGATATATACCTCGACACTTCGCGTCCCGATATATACCCACCGCTATTCACCTCCCCTTCAGGGGATAGTTGTAGAATATTTATTGATTCATGACATATTTTAAAGTCAATTAAAAAGTTGAATATTTTACCAGACTTCCCCATAGCTAAAAAGAAACATTTGTTCTTAGTGCGATTTGAATCTATTAAACATTCATATCCATATTTAAATGTTTCTACATAGTTTATATCATAACCTACGCGGAAACATACTTGCTCTGGTGGATCTAATCTCTCCTCTTTGTACAATGTGGTTCCAGAGTGACCGCTAAAAAAATAAGAAATAAGGTATCGTTACATCTGCGTTGGTCATCATTCAGAGGGCAAATTCATTTACAGCATATGCGTATAACCAACGCATTTGCCCATTAAAACAAAACTTCTCACGAGCAAATAGCCTGGTTATACGGGTATGCTGCAAATGAATCCACCGTAAAGATATGGACAAAAAAGGAGATAAATCACTAACATTTAGGGCAAGCCTTCAAGCAAAAAAAAACATTCTCACTCAAATACTGTCAGTTTACCTTTCCATGTTTCCATCGCCTTCGCCCCGCGGCAAATGCACCCTGATAACTTTGAAATTAGGTGTGGAGTCCTTCAGGCCGATGGCGAGAACACGATTGAAGGGACAGGCTGCTAAACAGTTCACGTCACTTTCCACATCAATTCCAGTTAGAAGTTCACCAGATTTGACGTTAAACATCTGAACAGTTAAATCACGAGCAGAAATAACACATGTGTCGTCACTGATAAACGTGCAATGAAGAAAAAGGGAAAATGAAAGACCTAAAGTACGGAGCGTGTTTCCTGTTTCGGCATCCAAGACTAAGAGGCCGTCAGTCGTGCCAACAACAAGGAACTGTTCCATAGGTGAGAAAGCCACAGCCTTATTAAAATCATGAGAGACAGAGAACCTTCCAATGTCTTTCTTTCTCCAAACGACTGTTTCGCCATCCAAAAGCTGAAGAGACCAAGGACAGGAACCTTCAAATGTGGTATCACTTAACAGCTGACATTTACTGTTACAGGTAAGAACTCTTCCTTGTAAAACTGGGATTGTTGATACAACTATTCCACTGCTTGTATCTAGGACTTTCACATCAACGTCTCCTACGACTGCTACTCGTTTCTCTGATATAGGGATCAGTTGTTTGACTCCAGGCAAGTTGGTCCACCTTTTGATTCGTTCAGCGAGGTTACCACTCCACAACTCAACAGTGGTTTTATTCGTTAAGATTAGGACCCCACCACTAACAGGACACAAAGGACGGTACGGTAAAGGCCAGCAGTTTATCTCAGCTTTAAGCTTCCCACTCGACACGTCATAAGCAGTGACTGATGATGCGACCCTCGCAACAAACACGGTCTGATCATCCAAACTGAGTGCTATCCCAGAAGCTGAAGTAGCACGCCTTGATCGTTTCTGATCGTTTCTGTTTTCGTATTTGCTATCCACCATTTCTATTGCTTTCAAAGAGGAACGTAGCAGACGTTGCTTGTCCAGAGCAAACGTCAATCCAAACTTAGGACCTTTTGTGGAAATGAGATCGCCAAATAAAAACCCACAATCATTAAAAGATTCAAAAGCCTCAGAATCACCAGACACAATCGTTAAGGAAAACGTGTTGTTTGCTTCCTTTACAACCTCGAGACAAAAAAAGGAGTATTTGTATATGTCGTAATTTTTCACAGCGTAACCAAAAATGAATCGATAATCAGGTGAAAACTTTACCACGCCCCATACTTCTGGGGTAGCCATTTGTGTTAGTTTTCTGAAGTTACACATCACATCATACAAACTAATCACTCCCGAAGAATGTGAGATTACAAGAAACCTTCCATCACCAGACCATGCAAAAGATAAAATGTCTTCATTTACGAGGATTCGATCAACCTCTGAGCCATTTTCCAAACTCCACATGACAAGGCCTTTAGAACTCTCAAGACAATTAGTTAGAATCTTGGCCTTGTCGCCGGAAATAGAGCAAACTGAGAATCTACAGTTACTTCCGAGAAAGAGTGGTTTCAAGTTTCCGTCCATAGTATAGGCCTGACTTAGAATCCCAGGTAAAATACATTCCTTTGTAGGGTGAAAAACAACTGAGCGGAAAAATGACAACGCGTTGACTGAAGGTAATTTTCTACTCTTGTGGCCCAACCAGCTCCTCATGGAACTCTTCTCTACTAAGACTGGACGTGTCCACACTAGCCTGCCAGTCTGGAGTGACCACAGCTGCAGTATTCCGTCATCACATTCACACACCAGATAATCCAACTGTGGAGAGACGTCCAAACAGATCACAACAGATAGACACTCAAATCGCGCTAAAACACCTCCCTGCTGCGTCTCCTTATGAACAACCTCCATATATGGTATTTCAGGATACTTATTTCGCAAAAGATTCGACGCTTCAACAGTCAACACTTTTCCTCCTTGGTTAAGTATGGTTTGAAGAAACGTACGAGGGTTATCTGTAAGCAAACGGATGTTCTTCCTCAATACAAACAACAAGGTGTCCACAATACTTTGGTTATCTTTTGATAACAATGTAAAAATCCCCTGCTCGTTAAGCCACAAAAGGTCGTCAGCCGCTATTGTGCTGTTCACGAAGGTCTTGGCATACACTACCTCTAAATCAATAATGTAGGCTTTAGTCAGTTCGTCCAGTTTATGTGGCTCTCTCTTGACGCCTTCGTGTAGCATGTGATGTGCACCATGATACAAAGCGTACCTCTCAGTGGCGCCAAACTGAAGGTTATCGACACCTTTAAGCTTCAGATTTTCAAGTTCTTCAATGCACAGGTCCGCAAGTAAGCGATGACCCTCGTTTTCATCCATGATGAATTCATGCTCCCCATAACATGAAATGTCAGTTAACCAGTCTTTAACTGACTTGTGGATGACGTGAAGACAATCGTCACGGATAGGAAGAAGTGCAGACACACTGCCTAAGGCGCTGTGTACTTTACGCTTTGTTAGTGGTGAATTAGAACTTGATACTAATACTTTAGAAACAAAACCCACTGGCAGGGGTTCCCTTGAAGCGGTAATGGAAGACAACAGATTCAGGAAATGTTCTTCCCTGATGTTATGTTCATTTATGAGTTCACGTTCCAAACGTTTAAAATAGGAATGATACACGGCAAAAATTCCTAAGGGTGAACTGCCGACAAGTTCCCTCTCGTGGGAAATTGATGCACTTTCAGTAGTCGACAAAATGAGAAAATGGGCGTACAACATCAGTCCTTCAGATTTCAAAACTAGTCGTTCCACTAACTCGCCCACATTCGCTGGTTTGACAACATGTTCCAGCCTTTTCAGACAAAATACTCTGACATCCTCAAGATTGTCTTCACCATCAGGCTGCAGTTCAAGTGGCTTCAAATGTTTCAGTCTCTCTGCAATGTTTAAGGCAGGACGCGTCGTGACAAGAAAACGAATCCAAATAGGAAGCTTACAAAACTGATTTGCAATCACATTAAGAAGCTCACTCTGTCCTTGATATTCGCTTTCATCCAAGCCATCTATCACCATGAGCATGTTTCTTCCTAGATCCCCTACAGCACTAAGAGGTTCCTTGAAAAGCAACGCAAATAACTCCTCCACACCATGTTGTTGAGATCTGTACCCAGATTTCTTGACAGCTGTTCCCCGAGAGCTCGCTTGTACTCTGGCAGGGCATGGGACAAGTGACAAGCTAATGACTGAATCATCAACTGAGGCTTACAGTAGCGTACATTGTTATACTGACAAAAATGGCTTCCTGATAGCCTGCCAGCTTGTTGCATTCTGTTGCAAATCACAGCTGCAATGACTGATTTTCCCATTCCTGCATTTCCACTGATCACCATCACGCGGTTTTGAGAGCTTCTGTCATTCAGCCAGTTCTGAACTCTGTCAAAGACCCACTCACGGGTGCCGTCTTGAAATCTTTGTAAGTGATACTCAATATCTCCCTGAATTCCGACTTAGCAAGTTTTTGAAGGACCTCTTCTGACTTGGTCTTGTCTTTTTCGCCTTTTAAACTATCCAATTTTTCGCTTATTTCCTCGACACCTACCTTAACTCCTTTCAAGCTTAGACCCAGTTCTTCAACGCTTTGTTGTGTCTTGGCTTGGGCCTGACGATTATTCTCCAGCTGTAACTTGATATCCTCTTCCCTAACAGCCCATTCAATCAACACGTCAATATAATCTTGCTCTCCACCTTTCTCTGCCTTCAACCTATCAACTTCCGCCTGATCAAGACCAAGACTCACAAGAACACCACTAATTTCAGTCCACAGAACAGAGAAAGTTGGTGTATCAACACCAGTGGTTGTCACATGACCATACAAGATATTGCGATAGAACTTAACCCGTGCAAGGTTAGCCTCATGAGACGTGTCACTTGAGGGTGGTTTAGTATGCCATCCTGAGGGGGGAGGGGTTAGTCCACAAATCTTAGTCAGAAGGAGAAACAAAAGAGTGATGTCAAAGGTGTTGGAGTCTGGAGGGACTCCACCAGGTGGAAATAGTTTGTCCCACTGATGGCCATTTAGAACTCGACGACTTAAGAGATTGTTAAGGATGGGGTAATTGGCATTTAAGTCAATAATCAAGTTTGCAGGAGGATAATGGCCATCAAAAATCTTCCTAAGAACTGTTGTTCCACCGTCGATGAGAAGCCTGCTGAGCTTGGCTCCATTTGTCTTCTCCACAGAACTGGCCAGCGGTGATGGTGCTGCGGCAGCCATGAAAATGTTCACTACATATTCCTGCAGGGGGAAGAAAAACAATGGAAAATTGTTTTTGTTACTATCCTATTCTGAAGAGAAATTAATATTCATAAGGAGATCTGGCTTAAAAGCAACATTAAATTTTCTACATTTCTCTTGCAGTACATTAGCCTATTTTCCTTATCCTCTTTATGAAAACGAGTGTTCAGTGCACATCTTTTTACATAAAGATGTGTTAAATAATTTGCACGTGAATGAAAAGCGTTTTAGTCATGAATAAATGACTAATGACTAATCAAGACTCAATTTCAAGGAGAGGCAGAAATGGTTAACGTTACTGTGACCTGTTAACTGGAGTAAGTACTATAATAAAAATGATTTTTTAATTGACTGTTCAGATTTATTATGAAAAAAAAATGAAAGAGTTTGTGCAAAATTTTTCTTAAGTAAATTATCCTCTTTTCTGTTATACAAAAAGCTTTGAAAAGGAATGGTGTGTTACTGCAAATGGCTGAAAATTCTGCTTCCTATAAATTAGATAAATATCTGATCACGTATGTTAATACTTTGTTTGAAATGACACTTGACTGACTGTAATCATATCCTGTTCCTAGATATCAGTCATTGGGGAATGGAACTGAGCCCCACCCCACCCCCTTCTCCTCTGTTGACTTAACCTCACGTTTGTTAATAGTTTGTTAGATACACTTGACTGACTGTAATCATATCCTGTTCTTAGATATCAGATAATGGGGAGTGGAGCTGAGCCCCCTTCCCACCCCTTCCTTCCCTCTGTTTTCCTCTCATGCTGTTCTCAGATTTATCATGCCTGGGACAAGCTATTGTTATTATCACCCTCAGGACATGATGACAAGGTTTATGGAGGGGAGATTGCTTTGAGTTTGGCCCGATGTTTTCTATAAAAGAGTTTTAGGCTAGCTGATATCCCTGGAAATACAGTTTTTAGACAGAAAGTAGTAATGTCTGTGTCCATAATGCCAAACAGTGGGCTTGATCATTCACATCATTTCAGTTCTCATGAGTTACTGTCAGAAATCTCAGAGATGCTGCAGCATTAGTCTGCGAGCTCTTGCGTTAATTTTCACCCAGGCAATTATCTTATCCAAAATTCAAGAATTTTACTTTTTACGAAATTATTTAATAATAATTACTTAATACAAGTGTGCTAAATATCTATAATTATATCAAATGAAATCCCCAACTTACCCGCTGACATTGTCTTTGATCATTGCTCCAGTACTGTATTTCTCCACTTTAGTCCACCATCTATCCAATCTGTCAGTCAATTCAAATTAATTAGAAAACAAAACAATCGACAGTTCTAGCCCAGTATAAAAAATACACTGCATTTCCCTCAGTATTCTTCTGTCTGATGGTGAATTAGCTTTGGGCAGTCCGGCATTTGTTCTATTTTTCTCTCTCTCCACAGTTAATTGTCATAAAGCCTTTCACCTGGATAAACAATTAACTGAAAAAAAAAAATTGGCAATTCTCAATTTCTGATTAGCTCAAATCCCTAGGCAAATTCTTGATAACCAGCTAGCACTGACCAAATTTGGAAGATGTTTGCAATATCCAGGTAAATGACATCAATAGTACAAAAGCTATTGCCAGAAAAAATGACAGTAACTGAGAAAGCCCTGGGGATGAGTTTGTTTTTAGCTCAGTTGTTTCCAGAGGATGGAGCTTAAAATGGCAGAACTATTGATTTTGTGAGGCAGAGATACCTTACGAACTTCTGCATAAAAATCAAGACGAGCAAAAATACAACTCAAGAAATGACAACTGCTATTTGGAAAATATCTGCTGGACTAAATATCCCTTTGTATCCTGAATTTGCCAAGGAACAAGCAAATGAAAGCAGGAAACCCCAAAAGATTGAATAATATCTATTGCTCCAAAGACTTAACCACCCATGGCCATATCAATAATGAAAGAGCAGTAAAAAACAAGAATAAATTACCTGAAATCTAAATTTGCCGACTTTATTTCCACATTTTATCAGTGCACAGATTGGTGATTCAGAGAGGATCAACAGTCGTATGAACTTGGCTAGGATAACGTTTTCAAAATCTGATAACTAAAAATAAAATGTTAAAAATAATGTGTGTTATTTCTACTGTTTATTCGTCCGAGCAGTTTAAATGTACACACACTTCACTTAAAATGCTGGTAAGCATATTTGTCACACTTATAATCAGGGATTTCACTAAGATTTCGAGATTAATACAGGATAAATACAACAAGTAGGTGGGGAATCAAACAGCTAGGGATTTCTTTTGGTTCTATTTTTCTTCTTTTTTCCTATGAAAGTAGCCAGGGACCACTTTCATGGTAGATGGGGGAAATTCCCTTCCCCCGGCTCTTAACGACAGTGACCTGCTATAATGCTGACAAAACTGCAGCTTAATATTACCAAGTCTGTATTAAAATGTTACATGTATCAGTTGTTACTTCTTAATCCTTTAGTAACTTTAAGTAACAGTAGTTTTGATACAATAAAAATGACACCAAATTGTGTTGCTTGTACTGTCACCTGTGACCAGTGACCTGCAATGTAATCCTGCCTCCTCACACCTGACCCCCTCTATGAAAAACTCAAATTTTACACCAACCCCTAAACCGCATGCAAGACTGTAAAATAGTAACCCAATCTAACAGGGCTTCAAAAAAATTAATTAATTAATAATAATCTAAATTAAATATTGAAGTGTGGAAATTTGTATAAAAGGACACAAACTGACATTAATCAGCCTGAAATTGAAATTGCCTATTCTTAATATATATAGTCAACTCAGTCAATTTAACAAATTGACGCCAGTTTCTGTGTCTGTCCTCTTATCGATGATAAAATGACGTGATGTGTCAGAGCAGGAAAGACACATAAAAACACTGGCCTCAATTTGTTTTTTACAATAACAAAAGCTCGGAAATGTCAAATTTGCTGGTAAAAATGAAGAAAACACAACAAAATGCATGACTTTTTTAAACTAGCACAATGTTATTGTCAATGACTTTTCTCGCTTGATGATTGGCTACTGAAGACAGACAACAGAGTTTCACTGGTTAAAAATTTGACAGGTTGAATCACTCCACTGCCCTGCATAAATTAGGAATTTACTGTTTTCCAAACTTCTATTCAGAACAAAAATAAAGTCAGCGATGTTTAATGTCTATAAAAATGGGGGCATTTTTAGGGTATTATAAAGTCATAAACTAGCCCCAGGTTAAAAATTATGCCAAGGAAAGATTTTGGAGCCCTTAAGATAACCAAACAAGTCATGGAAGCGATGTACAGCGGCGCTGTCTGGTGAGAGTAACTAGCCAAGCAGTTTTGAAAAGTTGCTTACCGAAAAGTACGAACAGAAATCATATTATGTTACTGTTGTTTACTTCCATTCATGAACAGCATTCAGCTACATGAAGTGCGTTCATTCAAACTGAAAGGGGGGTTATACAAATGCATGTAGTCTTCAATTTAACTGTGCTTGTAAAGTTTCACTAAATTTGTTTGTCCTCTTATTTATATGATAAAACAAACAAACAAACAAACAAAAAGTTTGTTTTCCTTTCGGTAAAAAGAATCTGAAAAACACCCAGTACTTGTCAAAAGAAAACCATTGCAATCAATGTCTTTATGTATCGGTCAAATTGAAGCTTCAACATGCCCCCCCCCTGGACAACCCCCTGGGCATTTGACTTTTTTGAAAATTATTGTTCAAATTCCCCCCTACCCGGGGCCAAAATGCCATTCAAATGCCCCACACTAGGGTCCATTCAGGTGATCAAATGCCCCCACCCCGGGGACATTTCACAGGCACAAAAATGACAAACGGACGGCAGAAACACCTTCAGTTGTCGAACAAAATATTTATAAATATAACAAAAACTGAGAAACACTGTTAGCGTATTTACTACGAACAAAAGCCTCGGCAAAGCGGCGGAAATCGCTACTACAAGATCACTGAATGCTCAGCTTTTCTTCGTCATGAAACATACAAAGCGTTCTATAAAAAAAGATCCCACCTATTGAGATTACTACATCATGACCATTTCACTGACATGCATCATCGTTCACCTTATAAATTAACATACTTGCGGTAGGTCAAAGTGGCCTGAGCTTTTCATTTTATTTTATTTTATGTTGTTGTATTGAATCGCCGATATAGGTATTGTATTTCATTGTAAAACACAACAATAAAATACATTCATACATTCAAAGCCTGAATCCAATATTAAAAATTTTAAAATTTGAATACTTCAAATATGGCAAAAAGTTTGTTTAAGCCCTTTCCTAGCAACCAATCGGCCACAAAGGCACAATCTTTTCCACGAAAATCCTCTAACACCAAGTCCCCCATGATAGCTCGCCATGCCAAAGATTTTACATGAAATCGAGGGTGCAGTTCAAATTCCCCACCCCTAAAGCATGGGGATCAAATTCCCCACCCCCTGGAAGACTCTGATTTGACCGATACATTATTTTGAATAAACTTAGACTTGCAAAATTGTTTTCTTGCTATTTTTGACTTTAAAACCATGTATGAAGTAAAAGCTTATCTGAATCCAGCGCAGTTTTGAAGCAGTACAATTTATAGCAAGTCGTCTTCACTTCTGGAATTTTACTTAAAGCATTTTTGTTCATCAGTTTCCTCTGCAAGTCTTGCATCTGAGAGCCATCTGCAGGGTGTCCATGCAGTGGCATAGTTGCTCAAAAAAATAGGAAAATAGGAAACTCAGGATTGAGAAAATAGGAAAAAAAAGGAAACGTTTGTATTAAAAAATAGGAAAATCAATGGTACCTTTGTCGACAAAGATAGCCTCCTGCACCCCATCAGGGTTATAATAAAGGCTACGAGTCCTCAGATTCTATGTTTGCAGGATTTAGATCAACTTTCGCGGCTAAGAAGGAGTGAAAATGATCAGTAACATTTAGTTTACTGGCTCAGTTACGCTGTAATCAGAGTGATATGCTTTACACACTCAGGTCGAGCGTGGTTCTATTATCAAAGGTGATCATATGAAAATTCCCTACTAGTTGACGGCAAATCTTTGAAAAGCCTTGAAGAGTGAAATTTCTTAGGACAGAAATTCCTTACGACTGAGTTGTCATTGAAGGATATCGAACTAGGACTTAAAAGTCCTATGGAAAGCTTTCCTTTCATTAATCTGCAATCAGTAGCTGGTTGAGAAGATACTTGTTTGAGAAAAGAACGCATTAAATTTTAAGTACGGAACTGGGCTTTCTGCAGTGTATGCAAAATGACACTGATCTATTTGGAACCAGATTGAAAGTGTGCCATGGTTAAGTTCTAAGAAGAACATAACAGTCTGCTTAGCTGTGACTGCAAGATCGGTTTTGCAACCAAAATATTGGATCTTTCATCAGTTGCTTAGGTATAGCTGTTAACAAGGGCTCACCAAGAGAGCTGGTGTCGTAAAACTAAACTTTAGTCTATTCTTTTCATGTAGCACCCAGAATAAGCTAGCGATTGGTTTTTAAACCAAGAAGCTGATTCGATAATTTATCTGGCCTGTGTTTTGAGGGGACAACTTGATCCTGTTTCAGTTTCAAAGATGAACATAAAAGCGAGCAAGACTTCAAAATAAATTATAACATGTACAGATACTGAAATGCAGTTTCAGTGGGCTATACACAAAATTATTCAATAGTCCTGAGGACTATAACACTTCATACAATACATGTAGTCGCACTAGAAAATTATACAAAAATTAACAATATAAAGAAAAATGTTAACAGAACTCCAATAGGCAATAGACGTCATGAAAAGAACAAATTTAACTGTCATTTTTACTAATATTAGCACATCAAAGTCAACATACTACTTGTTTTATGATTAAATTTCACTCAAACACACACAACTATAATTCCATTTTCAGTTTTGTTACAAATTTTGGCTTCACCAGCTAAAAAATAGGAAAAATAGGAGGTTTTAGTATAAAAATTGGAGAAAATAGGAATAGACTCAAAAAATAGGAAAAAAAATAGGAACTGGACACCCTGCATCTGCATCCATGGCTATTTTTCTTAAGTAGACAGAAAGCGAATCTTCTACGCAACTATAAACTAAAAAAAACATTGAAGTTTGGCATTGGTTCGGCAAATGACCGTGTCTTGCATAAATTAAAATTTTATGTGTCTGTCCTGTTATTGATAATTAACAACTGCATCGCTAAAATGGAGGTTGGGTGCCTGAAGTATCCAGGGCTTCCACTATTGGCAGCCAGCCCCTAGATTGAAATAATGCCCCCATGACTGGCACAACAGCGCAACCCAGCCATGAGCCCCACACCAACGGAAAGGAACAGGCACCCATCACACTGAAAAAGGAGACATCAGTGGAGGAAAACCCAACAAGCCTAGGGGAGGGCGGGAGGGGAAGAAAATGGCTGCCAGAACCCAGCATGAAGGTAAAACTGAACGTGCCAAAAGAATCACATGATTGATGTAGCCAGCCACCAGGCATGCGCATGCCAAAGACCGCTGACCTAGGCACCCAGGCGCTCTTAGTTGTTAACTCCTTTAAATTGCATTTAAACGCATTTAACAACTGCATCGCTAAAATGGAGGTTGGGTGCCTGAAGTATCCAGGGCTTCCACTGTTGGCAGCCAGCCCCTAGATTGAAATAATGCCCCCATGACTGGCACAACAGCGCAACCCAGCCATGAGCCCCCACACCAAGCAGAAGGGACCTTCGAGCCATGGCGCTAAGGCTTGGAGAAGGGGCTCATGGCTGGGAGACGCCGAGCCCCGAACGGCCAAACCCGAAGGCACTTATACGTAGGGTGTACGCTACCTCTTCTGATAAGGTACCTGTTACTGACGTAGCCTCCCAGAAACTTCCAAAATTTGAATCCACTGGGGTTCTAACGTAAAGTTGATATGCATCACTGGACCACCTGCCCATGGTCTTGATCAGGTGATCTGGAATGCTGCATTGCGTGGCCGTGGTGGCAGCCCCAATGCGAAAGCTGTGGCCTGAAAACTGCCCAGGGATTCCCGCTCCCTGTAACACAGACTGGACGAAGGAAGACAGACGAGAACGAGTTAAAGGCTGATTATGGGTGTCGATGAAAAGGGGACCAGACAAGGGCCCTCACCGATGTAAATATGCCAGGATGGCCGAAATTGGACAGAGAGGAGCCTGACCACGCCCCAGGTATATAACACATCCCGGGCGAAATGGGTCGGTTTTAGAACTTTTGATGCGCACCCGCAGGCTGGAAGGATTAACCTCTGCATCTACTTGCAAATCCTGAACGGTTAAATGGATGGATGGGTCAAAGGCGCAGTTGACCGTAAACTCCCCTGCCCATAGGAATCCAAAGAAACCTAGGCAACAGGCAGCCCATAGCATGATGTGCTCTGAGTTGTGGGCATCCAAGGAACGCTGGATAATTCGCATGAGGTCAGCTGTCACTGGCTGGCGTTGTGGGAGAGATGAGCCTTGATGGGGCTTAATGCCCCGGAGAAGACGCTGAAGTTGGAGGCAGTTCACCAAGGGATCGGGAAACCCTGATCGATGTGCAAGGACCGTATCGCCGAGAGATAAACCTTTATTGAAGAGTGATGTAAACGATCCGCTAGGTGGGAACAAAAACGCAGCAAGGTTTGTTCACTAGTGGGCAGCAACGAACCATTTGAACTGACATAGCCATCTAACATAGAGAAATCGATGAACTGACGTTGTGCTGAACGATACACCCGTCTGGTTGAAGGGGCCAGACCGTTGGAGAGATAAAATTGGCACTTTTGGTCTAAACTACAGGAAGCTGGTCCAAGACCCAAGGAGGTACCGACGTTGCTGTGGGAGACGCATAAGGAGCTAGCTGATGGAACTGCTGAAATTCAAAACGAGAAATGGCGTCAGCTATGGCATTTGATTTCCCAGGAATGTGACGAGCAGTAAACACAAAGGAGTGCCGGGCCGCCAACAGGGAGAGGTGACGAAGCAGCACCATCAAGTTCGAATCTCGTGAGGTACCGGACCGCAAAACCTCGACCAAAGCTGTATTGTCAGAACAAAATTCCACCCGCTTTGCAGACCACTGATGACCCCACAGGGAAGCTGCCAGAACGATCGGAAAAAGTTCTTTGTAGGCAATGGATAAGGGCAGCCGTAACAGAGACCATCTCCCCACGAACCAGTCTCTACCTAAAATAGCCCCGTATCCAACAGAGCCAGCAGCGTCAGAGGAGACATGGAGATCGGGAATGGGAGCCCAACGAGGAGACAACAGAAAACTGTACCCATTCCAGGACTGGAAGAATTTGAGCCACCACGACAAATCCAAACGAAATTCACTATTAAACCTTATAGGATGGTCATCTCTACGAAAAGCTGAGAGCAGATTGATCATGCGGCAGAGGAAGGTGCGACCAGAAGGGACGACTTTGCATGCATGTTGAAGCTTGCTAATTAAAGACTCCAGCTCCTTCCGTGTGCAATGGCGTTTAAGTGACCAGGTGACCAGGAGTGTGTGGATACGATCAAATTTTTCTTGCGAGAGGCGCGCCTGCAATAGGAGAGAGTCGAGTTCTATACCTAGAACAGTCAGGAGAGTGAAAGGGCCCTCCAACTTGTCGGGCTGAAGGGGAATCCCCCAATCCTGAAATTGCTGGATACAGGTGTCTAAGTTCGGTTGGCAGGTCTGAGAATTAGGAGGACCCAAGGTGTGAAAATCGTCCAGATAGTGAAGGAGAAAGCTCACGTCATACCGTGTTTTGAGCACCCATTCTACCAGGTCTGCGACTGAAGAGAAAATGTAAGGCGCTGAACGCAAACCAAAAGGTAAGGCCATGTCCACAAAGTAATTGCCTTGCCACTGCATGCCGAGGAGATAACGATCATTAGAGTGGATGGGAATGTGATAGGCACTTTCCACATCAAACTTTGCAAGTAAGGTGCCCCGACCGAGCGACATGATCCCATCAATAATATCGTCTACTTTCATATATTGAACCATGAAAGGGTCTTTTCTAATGCCGTCATTCACGCTGTGACCATCGGGACTAGAGAGATCCAGAATCAAGCGCCATTTGCCTGGCTGGTGTTTTTTGGGGATGACTCCAAAACGGCTGATGTGAAGGTGAAGTAACGGAGGGGAAGAGAAGGGGCCAGCAACGCGACCCTTAGCTAACTCCGTGTGAAGGTAGTCGTCAATAACTGAGGGCTGAAGACTGGCAGAGGGCATATTCTGTGTGGCTGATTTTAAGGAGACCGAAGCAGGGTTGAAACCAACACGAAACCCATTCTGAAGACCATCCAAGACATAGTTTACAAAAGACTGATCTGGATGTGTGAGCACCTCCTGGCGTAATTTGTCCACTCTTATGGGGGAAACTTTATAGGGACGAAGCAGCAGCTGATGCAACGAGGGAGCCGATGCAGACGGGCAGGAATCATTGAAAGCACGAAAACTTCGGGGCAGTCCAATCTTCTGCTGGGAATAAACACCAATGAACGCAAACGTGGAACGAGGAACAGTCAACAAACTATTAACACTATTTACACAAGAGGGGGCTGCCACCTGCAAGGCAACCTTGTTGTTAACGCCAACGGCGTTTTCCCCCGGATGGAGTGAGGGATCGGGAACGCTGAGACCCCTTGTAGGCTCGAAAAGGGCAGTTGGTAAGGGGGTGTTGACCATCGCATTCGTTCGCAAACATGACGATAGCGACATTGACCCAGAGACCAGCGACAGGCACCATCATTCCAAGATCGACAATACTGAATGGGGTCAAAGGAACACTTGGGTGGGACGTTCGATGAGGCTGAGGTATGGGGTAGGGAAGTCGAGTGAGGTGCTGATTGACCAGTAACAGTGCTGGACGCACGAGTGTGGAAGTTGTAAAGATCCAGGTTCATCTTAGACCAATCTGCTAGAATAGAGGCTGCAGCATCCTTCCTGAATGCCGCGTCGTAGTTCAACCAAGCTGGTCCAGGAAACTGAGAATCCGTCTGGAGGATCAATAACTTATACTGGGTAGTATCCTGCCAGCGAGAAGGGTAAGTACTGCAGAAGATCCACTGGTAAATGGTAAAGGCCTGAATCCATGTGAGAATATCGGTTATCTCTACCACCCTTTTTTTGCCAGGGGCAACAAGTAGTTTACCATCCAAATAAGTATGAGGCTCGGCCTCTTGGGCACGTATGTTCTCGGCTAGGAGATCCGCAAGCTCAACGAAGACACCACTGGTTATTTTGGCCACCAGTTTCCCTGGAATTGGCGCGTAACCGGGGCCAACTACAAACGTTTTTCCGACCGAAGGCGCCAAGGTCGGGCTGCTGGTCGACGGTACCAATGAATAATCGAACAAGGATGGTGCCGACAATGCCGGGACGGGCAGCTGAGAAGCACGAGGAACCACGGGAATACCAACAGACGAATAAGTAGAAAGAAATGAGGGCACAGTCACGCTACCTGTTAAAGACGATGAACGACACGCAGTCGAAGTCGATGTATAAGTCGACGGCATGCTGGTCGCGAAGGAGGCCGCGCTGGAATTGCCTGACGTACCGCTGGTAGAATTTGGCGCTCTGTTCTCCCGAAAGGCCGCCAACATCTGAGATAGCGACTGTTGAAAAGCCTGGGAGATGGCCTGAGTCAGAGTCTCCGCTGAGATTGAGACCGAAAAGGGCGACGAGGTAAAGGAGGACGAAGAAGTGGAATTTGATGTGGTTGACGGAGCGGATTCATCCCTCGGTGACGACGCGGGACCGGACGGCTCAAGCGAAGCCGAGATGCTGTTCACCGTGTTGCGAGGCATGTGGACCAAACCTTCGAAGAAACAGACGGAAAAACCAAAGAAAAGTTCGCGAAATCGACGACAACGGTGACGAACCGCTCGAAGAGACGAAAAAACACCGAGGAAAACGAAGAAAATGGCCGCCAGAACCCAGCACGAAGGTAAAACTGAACGCGCCAAAGAATCACATGATCGATGTAGCCAGCCACCGGGCATGCGCATGCCAAAGACCGCTGACCTAGGCACCCAGGCGCTCCTAGTTGTTAACTCCTTTAACTTGCATTTAAATGCATTAAAAATTAGCCAATCAGCGCACGAGAATAAAATGATTCAGTTATTGTAAAAACATCATTTTCTTCCGTTTGTTCAGAAACAAAAACAAAAGGAATCATGATAAAGTTCTTTGTTTCACAAAATCAGCAGAGTGGGTTATTTAAGTTTAACTAGAACCACTACGTGGAACTTACCGGGGCCCAGTGGGACACGGGATTGCATAGATATAGTTTACCTCTCACACCCCTCCCCCCTCCTCTGTGGAGGCTCATACTTAGTCTGAATTAACTCATGCAGAAGAAAAGCAACAAAAAGCATGAGAAAGGAGGGTGTTGTTGTAAGTTTGTTCAGTGTTATTACAGCTAACGGTCTGTGTTATAGTAGTGTTTTTACACTGTGATGTCAATAAGTGTGATCTGTATAAGGTTTTCATTTGTTTTTAAGTTTGAGTGAAAAAGCAAAAATCACTGACAGTTTTGGGTTGAATGGTAATGACAAAGTTTGCAAAGAAGTTTGTTACAGAATTATCACAATTTCACATTTTCTAAAGTACGCTGTCGTCAGGTTTATCATTGAGATTTATTAATAACATTTACCCGGTATCTATTTTTTGCGAAAACACTGTGAATTTGAAATGATAACAGACATAAGACATTTTTGAAATAGATCTTTGTGGTCATGGATTGTTGTCTTGCACTGTAAAAAATGTCATCCAGTGTTATATATGGACATAATAAAATGCTTATTTATTGATGATTGAGTATCCTTTGTTAATTCATTGCACATTGATATGGAGGCATTTGATTATAAGGCAGTGGTTGATACATAGTGGTATTCATCAATATGACCCATAGTAATTGTAGAGGAAGTATTTCTTTCCTGAACTGGGTAAACAGTAGTAAATGGTGCAAAGCCTTGATTAGATTCTACTATTTGTATAGTAACATTTACTGCATCTGCAACTGCTTGAATGATAAGTGCATCAGCCCATGTACCTTGAATACACATATTATTCAGATATCTTAGCCATGAATTTTTGGTATTGCTCTCAATAAATCTCTCTGGATTGTCTCTCATAAATTGAACCCCAGCAGTACATATATGCATATGATGGTTGCTATTGCCATAAAATTGATGTGATACAGATCTAAAGAAACAATCACCTGCACCCCCAACATCTATTGATTGTAAACAAAGTGCACCTAATATTGACTGCATCAAGAAAACAATGATAAATATCGATGTGCTTTACATTTTAGTTTCATTATCCTGTAATAATGCCTGCTAAAGAAAGACAACAAATAAGCTTTCTTGGGTATAGCCATTTTATTTAAGTTAATTATCCTTGGATCGCGTTTGTTATTACATTTATATCGTGCATGATAAAGTTTTCTCACCTTATTAAAATAGCCATGGAGCTTTGAAGACTTCGGTATGTCAATCGTTGAAATCTTTTTGAAGACAAATTTTGATAATTGTTCGCTTTGATTCTCGAAAAATTTCACGATGGAAGGTTAACTCAATTTCTCGATGAGTTTCACGATGGAAGGTTCACTCTTAAGTGATCGCTCGTAAATGTGTCTCTCCAAATATTCACTCTTAAATTTTTCGCTCATAAACTAGTGCATCGTAAAGGTTGGGGAACGTCTTGTTCCCCAAAAAGCTATAATCTTTCTCCTGACTGTCCTCCATGCCTCGTCCTTTTCAAAATGGCGGATAAGATTTCAATGAGCCAGCGATATATCTCAGTCAGCGATATATCCCTAACAATGTAACGTTGAAAAAACGAACTGTCTGCATTTTATGACCGGTGTCCAGCCTTCTGCTGGGCCCCGGTAATAAGAATAAGAATGGTTATATAGACCTTTACTGATGCTGCCAATGGCAACAAGTTTTTCAGGTTTTTACACGCTTATAATTATACCAACATTCTCTGTTCATCCTTAATTACGAGATTGGATCATTCAAGGTAAGCACTGAGGTATGGCTGATAAAACAATTGGTGATTATTGATTTTTATAGATTAAATTAACTAATCAATCAACAAAAAAATATCGAGTAGTATCGAATATCTATTAATCAATCAGCTTCCCAATGATCAATTTCTATTCAGATTTGTTAAGCTTACGTCCGGCTCACTACAACCAGTAATCATATTATTTCCTCATCAAATAATTTGCAGTAGAAAAAAAACATACTCCTGATGGGGTCAGTGTTTTAAATGACAATAAATACACTCTTTCAGCCATTTAGATCATTCAAACAAACCAAGTGTGTAAGTAAACATGCCTGATGAAAGTTTCCAGCTCTAAAAATACAAAATTGAGCCCCTGATCAAATAAAATATCAGTGGAAAACTTAAAACAAATGTGTGATCAACCTTGCAATTGATAGATAAGCCCACAATACAGTCAGGCGATGATGGTCAGCGGATGTTCTAATTTGACAGCTGTCAATTGACCTTCATAACAATGGCGAATATTCAAATAAACGGACCACGAATATGACAGCTTAGTGTGAGTATAAAGATGACTGACGGAACAGAAAAACCCAAAATTCCTTTGAAGTTTGCAAAACATGCAGCTTAAAACAATGAATTTACCTATAATACATTCCAACACTTACAGCAATGGTAACCAAATCGTACTACAAACATTCCTGTATTGTTTCTGGAAAGTGTGAGAAAAATTGTTAATCGCTATCAAGTTCATGAAAGATCCGAAAATTATGGCGGTATAGGCTTTGAAACCTCGTTATTGCTCGCAAAGCCTAAAAAAAGACCCCACTTTTCAAGGGTGATATCATTATCAATGGGAGCTTTTCTGTAATAGTATACAGCTGTATCATGTAATGCACAGATCGATTCTGGATTCATCCATTTTTTTGGCCCTGATTTTTTGGGCTTCGTACCTGTATCAAATTTTTTTTTGCCCTGATTTCAGATTCAAAGCCAAATTTTAATGGTGGATTTGGTTAATAATCAAAACGGATCGGTGGATTTGCATATACCCCTATTTACCCATTTTAGTGAACATCAGTGATCAACATGCACCACCAAGCATCAGCCAAAAGTGTCTTGTTAAACCCTACTATACTGCAATGGTTGTAATTGCTTATTACCCATTATTTTAGTGTACATGGACCTGGTCCATATACATGTAAGTGCAGTCAATTGGACCCGATCAAAAGCGGGGGGTCCATGTTGTGTTTTCACCCCAGCCACCCCCAATAAAATACAAAGTTGAACCCAACTTAAGGACACCTCATTATCACAGCCAGTTTCCCTTGTCCCTAGTCCTTATATTTTCTCTAATTTCATCCCGCTTGATATGGACACTCAATTATTGATACAAACACTTTTAAAAACTGGCCCGAAGTATGTCAAATTGAAATTATAACCCTTGGTGTTGTTCTAAGCTATTCTTTTACTATGTTTCTCCATTCTGAAATCTAGTGCCGCTGCAACAAATAACTCTGATAAAAAAGCATAAAGGTAATTTACCCCTGTTGCTGGTTTGCACGTGATGTCAGAGACTTCTCTTCTCTGGCTATTTTCAAGTGAATTCTTTGAGAAAAAAAGTAGAATTATTCTACTCTATAGACCCCCCCCTCCCCCAAAATGGCCTCCTTGTCCCGTGGTTGCAACAAGTCAATTAATCGATTGCTATTGAATGTTATCGATTATGGCACTCGGTCATTTTTGGCTATTTTGATAAAATTGCTCATATGTCAGTGGTATAAGCGTATGTATCTTTGGGCTAAGGCTCCTGAGATCGTAAAAAATGGGAAGCTACAATGCAGAACTAGCTAATCAAGACTCTGATGTTACGTACTGCAAACGTAGCAGTTACAGTGGTGTTTGTATTGGGGGAGAAACAATGGATGAAGTCATATGCAAGGAACAGCGATTGGTCTCAACAAAAGAACTAATTAACTGCGCTGCGGACGTCGAAAGGAGGAAACCTAAAAGAATTAATCTACAATCAGGGATACCAACGCTAAAAAGCAATGTAAACAGCTGATCTAAAGCATGTCCTCTAATCAAGCGCCAAACAAACAAATAATATCAAAAAGAACTTAAGTTGTTATATGAACTTACCTTCTTGGCCAGATGTCACTTATGCGAGAGAAACAGAAGAGAAAAGGAGAGGAAATCGAAAGACCACACTCGGCTGTTGACGCCTAGAACACGGAAAAAACCGACTGCGTAGCATTCTGGGATAGGGAAATCCCCGAAATGAACACTTCGGTGTAGGTCCAAAGATCAGAAGCTATCAGTGGATCTTAAGGCCATCCCAATAAGATGTTTCGTTTCCCATCGCCCCGTCTCTTATGATGGTGGGTCGGTCGGTCGGCAAAAAGAAAAAAGAATGAACACTTTTACTTTTGTATATTAAATCTCACGTTTAATCTGTAAGATATATAATCAGATGGTAAAAGATGTATATTAACACGACTATCAAATTTCTGTAGTGAACAGCTTTAAAAACGTAGTACAAAAAATTACTTATCGATGTTAATTAAAGACCAGGACATCACATCATACCAATTGTTGTTAAAACAAGATCGTGTGCTTGTAAAGCAGCTTGTGAATCGGGATTTGTTTTTTTGTTTTTTTTTTTACTTTTCGAAAAAAATGGGTCGGTCGGGCGATGGGAAACGAAACATTTTATTGGGATGGCCTAAGTGGAATCAGTACTTTCTCTGGCCAGCAAAATTAGTCTCCTGAAAAAGCTAGAAGTGTAACTCAGTAAAACCTCTATCCTCAGGATCTCGTCTAAGGCTTAACAATGAAATTAAAAACAAACTTATCGGTAGAATGCTTAGATCTTAGACCAGACTCGGTTATTGCACGGGAAAAATAAAACATTTACTCGATTAAACACCGCCTTCTATTCAAAGCCCAGGGGGGTACTCAATAAAGTTTTATACAGGGAGGCTCCGCCCCGAGGTCCAACCCCTCACTTTTTTATATAACATTTCTGTCAGAAAAGGTACCCCTTTCGTATTCCTTCCACTGACAAATGGTACCCCTTTCAGTCATACCTAGTTTAGAACTTTGCATCTCTTTTAACTGTTGTAAACGAATAAATCACTGCACAAAACCAGAAAATTTTTTCGAACTTTTCACACTCACAAAACTACCTTCTCTAGCCTTTTTAGGCCATTTTACGGACCAAGTGACAGATTTTCCTAGGGATTTTACCAGTTGAAGTATATGAAATGGTACCCTTTCATATACCTGAAGCCTGGAAAAGGTATCCTTTCTGGCAGAGCCTCCCCATATAGGCCATTACAAGGAGTATCCCCTCCCCCTGATCCAAAGCGTACAACTGAATGAAGCACTTCAAAGTAAACAGGGTTTTGCTTAATAAATTGAAGATTTGAAGAAGAAATAAAGGACTTTTTGTAAAATGTTAAAATTCAAATTTATTCTTTATAATTAAGAGTTCTAAGTTTTTTGCTGAACTAATTTCTTTACAGGCAACATCCTCTTTTGAAAGGAATTCTAGAAATATGAATCCTACTTATACAAAATCCTCATAAAAATACTATTACAAAGTCTCTTCAGTGCTGAAAAATAATCTATAGCTTTTCTTGTATCTAAAAAACTATGGTCCTCTCTTAACACAAAAATTTAAAATTAGGTATTGATGTTATCCGCCTTTTCGGAAACATTACACTGCATGTTTCCTTATCTAAGAAAAACTGTAAAATTTGTAGCTATATTGTAATATCATTAACACACAAAGTTTTATTTATTCTTCGAAACTCATCGCCACCATTTTTCTGTGTGATGCGCAAAACGTTGTCTTAAGTTTTTTAAACTGATCATTGGTCTAATGTACTTAAAAAGAAAAACCACATTAGGACCTTACAGAAATTTTATTGTAATCCTGTACAAACGTTTCAACATTGTACCGCCATCCCTGTTTATGGAGTTATGAGAACATCATTTCAAGCGGCGTCGCCCCCGACGGTTGGGTTTTTAACAATGAGAACTTCGTGTGGCGAGTATGTAACTTTGAGTGAAATGATCAATTACGAGGTTACATTTCAGCGGAGCTCACGCGCGCGAAGTTATTATGATTGACTTGAGAAGATGTAATATTAGCTAAAATCCCGGGGCTAAAATCTTTACTTTAGAAGATGGGGTAATTTTAACTTTTATGTTATCCTATATTTTGTATAGGATATTTTTCGCCCAAAAAATATTCCACTGCCTTCAGTAGAGAACAAATGAAGCCCAAAAGTTACAAAAAGATTCTATAGTGAGTTTGACTCGCTTTACTTGATTTCCAAAAAATTATTCAGAAGTAAAGTAGCATTTCAGAGCATCTTGTTTTCAAAACAGCTAAGAACAATGCCACCTAGCCCTCCTAGCCTTAAACTCCGTCTTAGTGTGTATTTTGCAAAAATTTCCCCGCTAGCGATTATCGTCTCTATTGTATCGCTCAGTTTTCGTCGTCATATAAAAGTAGGACGGACTTCACACAGCCGAGGATACTATGACGTCACACATAAGCCTTTGCGTCACAGCAATACACGAATAATACAATCACACCTGACATACTTCTAGTACGTTGTACAGGCAAACGTCGAGAGTAGTTATTATTGCATTGACGGTTCTCGCTGGCGCTTCGTAAATGGTACATGTTACTAAATGCATAGTCTTGCTCTAATAAAATACCTCTTTTTTAGCGTACAGTTAATATCGCGAAAGAAAGCCCGTACAATAATATTTAAAAAACAAAAATAAACAAACTACTAAGAAAAGAATTTCCAACCTTTTCTCCAAGAAAAGACTGCATAATAAAGCAAGGAATGTTCATACAATTTTAGTTTTGAAATAATTCCTCCAAGATATAGACCCCGTCACTTTCTTTCATAGATGGACTGCTTTACTGCGTGTGTTGCAAGTTTTTACATAGCAGCTTAAAACATGTTCTCACCATTTCTGTAACTCTTTCCTTCATATATAGCCTCTCATGCAGACATTCTTCGGACTTTGTTCCTTCATCGCGTGTTGCGCGTTTCTTATTCGCGTGGGGCGCGTTCCTTACTCGCGTGTCTACTTCATTTAATACAAACAGAGAGCCCAAACAGACGTCATGTCAACACATTTTACTTTATTTTCATAAGCTCTACCGCAATGATTTTCCTTAAAGCCATAGCCATTAAAGAGAATAAGCATATATGTTTCTAAATACTACGTTATACCTGGTAGAGGACATGAAACTGTTAAGCGTCAAGGCAATAAAAATGGCAGAAATTGACAACCAGTGAAAATTTGTTTTAGACAATCACATAACTCACAACAAAATAAGTGTATCACATTGTTCGGGATATTGAAACTACTTTGCGCAACGAGAGTTAAATTTTGTATAATTGTATAATTTTGGTTTCATGATCACGTCGGTAGAGAAGAGCGCCTTATAAATAAGACAGTCAAGTTCACTTGGGCATTTGTGAACGATCTCAATTTTAGTTGAATGTCAAGTGGCTCCCGTATGTTGTTCTTTGAGGTGATTTAATTCGTTGATGGAACAGCTACCAGGACGTAACTCTGTTGTTGCAACAATAATCAAGTATGTTCTGTTTCTTGGAAGGCCCTTGTTTCTTAAGGTGGAACCATTTTAAACAATATTCTTTTCCATGATAGAAATGACATGTCTTGCTGTTTAAAACGAAGCCGGATAGCCGTAGTTTGGCGTTGAGAGAATGCTTTCAGACTTTTCAGCATCAGGCATTTGACTCAATATGAAATCTGAAGGTGTTTGTATAATTCAGGAATCTGGCTTTGGTTTTAAATTCCGATTCCTTACGACAGCTGTACACATGAATGCAACAGTTATCATGCTGGAGTCCCATCAGTGAATCCATGGCAACATTGTCCACATGTTCATACAAGCTTTTCTTCAAACTCAGTGTGGCAAAATTACTGAAACAGCTCTAACAGATCTGCCTTCACTGTGTTGAGATTCTGGTTCTCCTTGTTGAATCAGTGATCCTAGAATGCTTTTGATGCATTGGTTTTAATGCAGTCTTCCACATGGTCAAAAGGCTGGATACTGAAGATATGTCTTGCCGTTTATTCTTGTCAAGAAGAAAAATTGCTAGGCAAACCAAAGATATAGTGAGAATACAATCTTGACCAATCTGAGCCTTTTTCGCAATAACTTGCCAACTTGAACTGTATCTTCCGCTTGCTGATGTTATTAAATGTACATATGTTTAGATGCTTCTTGCAGGTTATTTTTATAGCTGGATTCTGTAACTGCGATCTCTCTTCCGTCTTGACAACTGAATGGGACTCATTTATAAGAAGCTCTTCGAAAAAAGTCAAACTAAAGCCATACTGAATCTTATTCTCCCTGATGGTAAGATTATTTGTTTAGGTTTTCTGGGTCTTTGTTTCAAGCATATTCTTACAGTTTTTCTACCTAATTAAGTAGGTCCTAATATTTTCGGCCGAGTCTTTTTGTCACTGTTATTGCCTCAACACTTGTGGCTTAGATTTTATCATCCCTTTTGAATCTGACCTGACAGAGATCTTCCTCTCATCTCTTATTTCTATTACAAAATGTTTGCCTCATCAAATGCGGTGATAGGAAATCTATAATGATAATCATTATTCTAATACTTGTCAGTTCTAAGATACTTTAACATTTTTTAATTTCTAGATCTAAACTGAGCTTCTACAATTTCTCAAAACTACAGCGCCTAGTGATAAGGCCTAGGTTTTCAATAATCAGCCGAGAAAAAGTGCATGAAAAACTATCCTTTCGATATTTTTCCTTAAAAACTGATACAAATAGTGCGAGAAATGGCTTGAGACAAAATTTTCAGCCTTTCAAAATTATTATGGAACTGGAATCCTTCCTTACCGCTAGGTTCTAATATTCTACCTTTATGAAATAATTTTACAAAACTACTCTTCCTTAAAAAATCATACAAGTTGAAAGAATTACCTTATGTTAAACTGAACTACCGAAATGAAACAGTGGTAACGAGAACCATGTTACAAACATTTTAGACCAATTTCGATATCTTAAAATTCAGACTTGGCACTGAGGCTTGGGAGAATAAAACAAGAGAAATCATGCTGAGACTCAATAATGAATTATCCATTTCTGTTGTTTTACTGATTTCCCCAAGCGTAGGAGCCAAGTATAAATTTCAATATGT